TATATATATATATGCATTTATTTATTAAAATCAATTAATTATTTTACAGGTCCTATGGCAAGAATAATAATTGCAGGTACTGGTAAAGAAATTTCAAAAGCATTACCATATGTTGAAGACAAACTTAAGTTTTACGATGAATCGAAAGCTATCAAAAGGTTTGGCGAACCCGAAAAAAAAATTTTAACTCCAGAACTCAAATTATTGGATTTGTTAGTGATCGGTTAGTTTATAATAAATGTATACAAGTTTTTCTTGTTCGTTATTATATTTAATTATTATTAATTTGTTTTTTTTTGTATTTATTTAATATGTAGGACCGGAAATTCACGTACACGTAACGGTGATAACAATTAAGTCTCCTAATAAATTTTTTGTTCAAGTTGATTCATTGCAAAATATTGAAACTGAACAGTTAAAAACTGAATTGAATACGTTTTATAATACTCCTCATAATCTTAAAATGTTAGGAATGCACGATGTAAGTATTTCAAATAATATTCTGTTCTAAAAACTATTCTCATAACCGAATGCAAGTTTTTCTTTTTCCTTTTCTTTTTATGTAATAGATCTACCCGGGACATGTAGTTGCCGTAAAACACGAAAATGGAAACTGGGAAAGATGTGAGATATTGGAAGTACATGAAGATTCCTGTGATATTCTATTTATCGATATTGGAAATGAAGGTACCGCTAAAAAAAGTGAAATATATGAGTTGCCTCAACATTTCTTATCATACATTGTACAAGCATATGAATGTACATTAAACAACATAGGAGAACTGTAAGTAAATTTTATTTTTACATATATATTCTTATATACGCAAATCTATGTGTTATGTATAAACGTATACGATTTTCTGTCGGTTTTTCCCTCCCCCTCTACCTTTCGTTTTTTTCTCTTTGGCAATGATTTTCGAATGTAAATTACGACGCGAGTTTACGATATTTAATATAGTTTTCGCGAGTTGCAGCATTACGAGACTTTTATATAGTACAAACTTCATTGCCAAAAACATGAATCGTTTGAATAGTTCCCTTTGCTATTTCCGTTTCAGCTTGTTTTGAGTTTGTTTTGTTATCTTGTCGGCCAAATATTTCAACTGGCAATAAAGTAATTTTCTACGAGTATTATATATTGTGTCGATGAAAAATAATTCATTATATTGATTTTACGAATAACGTTCTATTTATTTACAAATTATTATAGGAAGTAACGAAAAAAATATTGACATTTTTAATTTGTTCGATTTTGTTTGTAAAAAAAGTTGAGAATGTAGGATACAAAGAGTAAATAATTCTTAATTGGATTAATTAACGCGATAGTTACAACGGATGACAGTTAATTGAAAGAAAACCTACTGTAAGAGTATATTTCGTAATTATGTGTCGCAATATGAACCGCAGAAACCATTTCTTCGTTACTACGTTGACTAATGGTGTACAGTTAAAATTAACAAACATCAATCATTTGAAAAATAATTTAGTTGTATATAAGTAATATAAAAGTTACTTAACAAATTACAATTTACAACATATATTTTTACAGAATATTTTGTTTACCAATTCATACGTCTATTACTTAATTTAATGAATTTTGTATATTGTCGTTTAATTAAAATGATTTAATAATTTTCAAAATCAATTTTAATTAATTAAGTTTTTAAAATCAAATGTAATAGAAAAATTACGTTGAAGCATAAATTAACAAATTTTCTATAACTTTGTGACAAAGAAAAATATTCTTTATCGAGTAATAATCTTTTTTATAAAAAAAAAAAAAAAATACAAAAAGAAAGAGCAATCTATGTTTTAAACAAAATTTTTAACGATTACAAAATTTCGTGAAGTCGCACAATTTTACAAACACTTTCTTCGTTATTTTATATTGTCAATTAAAACGAGTTATCTTTTAAAGCGAGATTCGTTCGATCCGAGTATTAGAAGTCGACTGATATGAGAGTTTAGATCATCGTCTTAAAGTCTATACGTTTCTCTAATGTTGTATTTTTAACTTTATGATCTTTGCTTTAAATTATTACACACGTACTAACAACTAAATCATTTTTGTATTTATTTATAACACATAACGAGAAAAAAAGAAGAAATTTTTTCTTTGTTTTTGTTTTGTTTTGTTTTGTTTTTATTATAAAAATATGTCTATTTCTAAGACATTAGAAAAATATATTCCATGCATTCATATATATATGTATATATAATTTTTTATATATTTTTTAATTTAGTGATGGTGGGTGGGATAAAAAAGCCATTGCAAGATTTAAGGAACTATGTGTAGCTACACCTCCTCAAAAAGTGTGTATGCACGTTAAAAATACTAAAATAGATATCAATCCTAGAGGATTTAGTCGAAGACACATTTATATGGTTGATCTTTATAATGGGGTAAGACAATTTTTTATATTGACAATTTTTTTAATTTATTATTATTAAATAATGATATCTTTTTATATGAACAACACATTTTATCCCGCATATTCTATTAAACATTTCACGTAGAATTATTCTCTGTTCTTTTATACCATTTATATATATATATTTATTAAACAATTGGAAATAATTATCTTTTTAGGACTTGAACATTGGTACTCAGTTACGTAAGGAAAAGCTTGCAATTAAAGAGAACAGTATGACGAAATATGTAAGTAAATTACTTTTCACGTGTACGTAGAAAATATGTAATATTTTTATTTATTTATTTTTTTGTCCTTTTAAAATATAGTTTAGGAGAATTCCAAAAATTGAAGAAGCAAGGGTTAGAGAAAAGCTTGAGTCGTTTAAGATGTATCAAGAAATGAATGAAGACTTAGACGAGGAATTAAGAGAACAAATGGAACTTGAGGACTTAGAATCAGATGATGATTTTAGTAAAGGTGAACATGATACCCTTGATAATGTGTTAAATTTATTGAAAGATAATGTTGCAACAACTTCTAAAAACACACATGATGATGATCATTTCGACTAACAAATATGTTTGAAAATTTATGGATTCGAATGGATTGTCTGATCAAACTCAAAAATTAAACTAAATAAGGATACGAGTTGTTTGTACTAAATTAAAAAATAATAAGAGTAGAATAATAATACAAATAGAACTTTCCCAATTGAATAAATGATCATAAAAATGAATATCGTTAAAATGGAATTTTTAATATAAAAGAAAAAAAAAACAATCATCAACACATGAATGCCGACATTGAAAATATAATAACGCTTTAATCAACATATAAAAATTCTAAGTTGTAAATTGGAAGGTTCGAATTATTTTTATACAAATATTCTTACACATCGAAATTATTGTTTTACGATGAATATTATTTACACGAAATAAATGTATCATATACTATTATTAGAGTATTTATATCAATAAATTCTAATAATAGTTTTTTTGATAATATTTTGTGTCGTTAAAAATCAATCAAATCAATTAGTCTTCCTATGTTTAGCCGAAATTCATAAATTTGTCTTTATCATCAACAAAAGTTCAATCCTGATAAATAATGTCGATTATTTAATTATTTTCTTTTTAAAATACTTTTCAATTAACTGTGAGTTTTTTATTTTGATTTTACTTTTTTAACAATAATTATACATATTAATGTTTTCCTTTTCTTGTTTTTTTTTTTGAGAAAGAAATACAATCCAGCAATATATAACATAGTTCCTTTTTGCAAAGCAATTATGAAATAAATCAGTTACTATAATGTGCAAATAAATGATATATCTATTATCTGAAATAATTCTTCTTATTAACGTTCTTATTAATTGCTTTATTCTTTTTGTTTATATATACTTAAAGTATATTATACATGTAATCATTTATCTATGTAAAATTGTCGTTATTGCTTTTGATTTTTTTTTTTGTATTTTAGAAACTTTTGGCAAAAACCTTTTACGATTTTTCAAATTCGTAAAAAGGAATAAGTGATAACGACAATAAATTATGTATTTATATATATATATATGTGTGTGTGTGTTCATTTTTTTTATCATTAATCATTCTTTTTTATCGCTAAAAGATTAGTTCTTGAGTTTATTATATTAAGTCGAAAATTATGGATAACGACTCGCTGTTTTATGCTAATGGGTTAATCAAACCAAGAGCACAATATTTTTTTATCATGCATTTTAGAATACCAATGTAAAACATTTGAATAAACCTTATAACAAATTTCAATTATCATTTATAACTCTGTTATTTCTGCTGTTAAAACATTTTAGAATTCATTAATAATTAATTATCGCGATCATTATTGTATCCATTGATCATATTTTCATTTCACGTTTATAAAAGTTAGAAAATTATTTTGAAATAATGCAAAACAGAATTTGTATATGACTTAATGTATACATTTATTTATCGGACTTTTATTAACATTTTGTTAATTATCTTTTGTTCCTTTTTTACGCATAATCTTTCTCTTTAACATACATATAATATATATGAATATATTATATACATATATATTCATTTTATACACATTACATATATAAAAATATATTAATCATATTTTCATATATCTATATATACACTTGTATCGTTTCATTCATAAAACATTAAACGCGATTTATTTTGTCGATTAATAAATATATTTGCATTTTGAAGAGAAATATTTTGCAAAAATACAGAACTAACTTATCCAAAATATAAACAGGTGTAAAAATTAATTAACCGACAAATATAAGTTAAAGTCATATAACAAATTGTGAATAAGTCAATTTTGGATACGCATTTGTTCATTTTTAATGTAACTAATTGTTTATTGTTTATTTAACGCATTGCAATTATTAAAAACACATGATGTATTAAAAAGGAAAAAACAGAAAAAAAAGGTTCGATCAAAAATATCATAAAATCTACGAAATTATCTTCAAACAAATTGTGTTCTCTAACGTTATTAATCCCTTTCACTTTTCTTTCCCAATTATGATGCTTTCGATTGTCATGACTACTACCGTGTCTGGAAGATAAAAGTAGTAGTTTTTCGGGATTTCTTGCACGGAAGTAAAAGTTATCTGTACAACCGCAAAATAATAGATAACGGTGAGGTGTACGCGGAGGTGTTTGAAAGAAATAAGCGGAACCTAATTATTGAAAGTCAAGCTATGAAAAGAAAATAACAATACATATATATATAAAATAAACTAACGTAAAACATAAATATAAAATTTTTATAACGTGAAACTAAAGTTTCTTCTTGTCGTAGATCAATATGTATCTTTTTACTCTCCCTTTTTTTATGGGTTCGAGTTACTTTACTAAGAACACTTTCTCACATCTATCTAATATTATCAAAGAGGAATAAACAGTAGACAGTTTGTCTTTTTCCAAATGGGTCATCCATCAATTTGATTAACCTCACCCACTACGTTACTTAGTTTAGTGATATGACGGTAAAAACGTCCCTAAAGTTGTTAAAACTGTTACACATTTATTAATATAAAATGTATATCCCCCCCAATAAGAAAATTCTATCATCGTTTACTAATTTTTAATGTATTAAATATAATAACAAAATATAAAAAAATTAAAATTATTATATTTTATCATTAAACATGATATATATATATTTGTCAATTTTATAAAGAGAATATAATCAGGAAAAAAAAAAACAAAGAAAATATTTCCATATCTTCGTTATACTTCTATATAAATAAATATAATAATAATAAACATTATAAATTTAAATGGTCAAATAAAGGGAACGTACATGCAAGGTAGTAACGACTAATAAGATTTAAAATTGGGATGAACAAACTTAAACAAGAGAAATGGATTACAATCATCGAGTCTTTGAAAACTCAACGGACTTTTTTAACCCGGTGTACGAGAAAGCTGCGGCCAAGCGGAATCGTATAAAACACGGCTGACGAAGACTCTCTCCTCAGTTCATCTAACATCCTAATTCAGTTCGACGATATTACAATGAATAACTTGGTAAAAATCATTTTTATAATAATAATACTATTATTAAAAAACAAAAACAAAATCATCGTTCCAGACAAAAATTATCTTACGTTTAATATCTAACAAAAATCTTATTTTTTTTTCTTCTTTTTTTTCTAAATAATATAATTACACGATACTTGTATAACAAATATATTCTATTTAAAAAAAAAAAAAAAAAATACGCGTGTTTAGTTAGAACAATGTTATTTCCTTCGAAATAAGAAAAGAATTATTATTTTAAAAGAAAATAATTAATATCACCACACACAAGGAGAACTTTGTTTGTTAAAATTATAATATTACATAAATATTATTATACTTATATATTATATTAATATTATATATTAATATTATATTTAAATAATAATAATATTATATTATTATATTATAATTATTTTGATTATTAACGAATTGTTTTTAGATTGTCCTATTATTGACGTTGTATGGGGTATGTGACGTATTGGCTGGTAGACGTTACATTGCTATTCCTATTGATGGTATCGATGTATTAGAATTAAATCCTATATCAGGATCAGTTCCAAGAATTGCTCGTCAAGCAGAGCCTGCTTACGTACCAATAGTGCCAAATCTTCATCACGAGGAGTATGACAATCCACCACAACGTGCTGAGAGATCTATCGGTCACATTCTTGATTATGTGGATTATGGCGGACATACTGGTTCTAACGGTGCCTTTGGCTGGTACGCCGATTATCCAGCGCATCATTGATCACATCATTCACAATGTTAACCTCAAACATTAAATTGATTTCATCAAAATTATTCCATTATATTTTAGAAATCTTTTTTTTCGAGTCATACAATTTTTTTTTAACAATCTCGCGAATTTATTTATTTTCAATCAGGATCACGCGTGATTGTATGGACAATTTTTTTTATTGTTATTAATTAATATGTTCAATTATATTTTTCATCATCGTGTAATTATTAATTAGAAAAGAAAAATGAAATAAAAACAAACGAATTTCTAGTATTTAAGTTACTTATGCATAATTCGATTATTCCTCTTTAAATCTTGCGTTAATAAAGATGTTAAATAGAACAGTTACTATAGTATAGTCCCTTCAATTAATTGATAAACTACGAGTAAATGGAATCAGGAAAAACGTGTTCCATATTTTCAAATATGTATTTAGATCTTACTGAAAAAAATTAAGTTTAAACAATTGCGAAATAAAAATTACACCAAGAAATTTCAGTATTTGTATTTTGTAATAACATTGAGATTTTGATAACTCGAGCATCTGTTCAAATGAATCCACGTAAATGAAAGAAATAATTTATTGAATAATATAGATATTACTTATTATAATTTTTTCTTTTTTATAATTTTTATTACGTATTTACACGCTTGAAAAATAAAATCTATGATACACGAATGTTAATAAATAAAATATTAATAATATTTAAGTGCTCATTATTTCCTGTTTTTTTTTGTGATTCTTATTAATTATTGACTATGTAATATATAGATAATAATAATAATAATAATAATAATAATAATAATAATAATAATAATAATAATAATAATAATAATAATAATAGAGACGTTACAAGTAAAACAATTATATTCCATCTCACACGCGAAAACGTGAAACGGATTAGTTAATTGCTCGGCACGAACTCCATCACGAATAAGATATATAACTGGAAGTATTCAAATTCCGTTTCTCCAGAACCGTCTGGAAAACTTTCTTTGGCGAACGTTACGTTAGACCCTATCGTTGAACTATTCGAGTTTTGTAAAACTTTCCAACCATGTTCCCGAGGATTCTGACGAAAACCTTACTCAAAGTTTCGAAAATTACTTGGAAAAAAAAAAATCTATTTTTACAAGACAAGATATTCTAAAATTTCATCAACTTCTTACTAATCTGCTAATCCATTTGTATAATTTTTCTTACAGATTAAAATAATTATTTTGGAGGATTTGTTTAAAATATTCACGTTTTTCATTGAGTAATAATGGTTTTATTTTTCTGATACATCATCATCATTATCATCATCATACTCATCATCATCATCATCATCATCATTATTATAATTATCATTATAATTATCATCATCATCGTCATTATCATCATCATTATCGTTATTATTATAATTATCATCATAATAATCATAATGCATATCATCAACCCATTGTTACGATACAATAAATAGCAGAGTGACAACAATATCTCTTTGTTACGTTAACATCTAGTTAGGTACAGTGATAACAATTTTATCAAGACTCACTTTTCATTCCTTTTTTTTTATTTGAAATCATATCATCCAATTTGAGGAATCACGAAGCATTTTTTAAGTACCATATCGCAGCTTGCTTCCTTACAATTAAATAATCTCACAAATTAGAGAAATCCAATCTCTCGTCGTATTTTGTTATCCTCGATGATCAACAATTATTCAAATAATCATCACTAAATTACAAACAGACATTCAAATTATTTTAAAGTATTTAAATTAATTAAAAAGAAAAGAAAAAAAGAACGAAAAAAGAAAAATAAGAAAAGAACAAAACAAATTATATCACCGAACGAATAATTTGATGTAGAATTTTGTCATAAAAACAATTTTTAAATTGATTTGATATTTTTCAACGAAGAAACAATCATTCGACGAGGATAATAATCAGGATCGTTATGTTTAGTGCGCGTCATTGTTCTCGTACCACTTCCTTTAAACCCTCACCCCTCATCCCTCACAATTCATGATGAGGCCCCACCATCCCACTACCTACTTTTATTTTTTTTTTTTTATTTCTATCTCATAATTATTCTCTCCGAGAGTTATCTATCTATGTCACATCGAACATTTAAACGTAACAGTAATTACAGCAATTAACATCGATCAACACGTTATTTCCTATAATGCTTTTACCACTTAATTACATTCAATAAGTGTTATTCTCCTCTTCCTTCCTTTGATTTTATGTATGTATATAGAAGTATATATATATACTCATGTGTGGCTTTGTTTTTCTTTTTTTTTTTTTCTTATCATACAATCATTTATTTCTGTTTCTTTTCTGCTTTTTTATTCGAATCGATTTCATTACATATTATATGTATATACCGTTCATGTGTTCTGCAATCGACGAGACGAATTTCTAAGAGCATCCAACAAGCAAAATTAAAAATTAATTTGTCCTTTTCTTTTTAATATGCAAAAGATAAAATATTAAGTACGAACGAATGTTAAAAAAAAAAATGTTGAGTTGTTGTTGTTGTTGTTTTGTTACTGTTGTTGATGTTAACGTTTGTTGAGTTCTACTAACGATCAATTGTTTTTTTCTAGTAAGTAAAAAATATTATTATATTATATGGTTATTTTGTTTGTTTGTTTGTTTATTTCTTTTTCTCAATGCGCTATGATTGCGTGTATTTCATATTCTTTCTTTATTTTCCTTTTTTTTTTTTTTTACATATATAACCTTTTAAGAAATGTTTAATACGGTATTTTTAGTGGGATCATGTTTCTTCGCGTATATTATACTTTTTTTTTTTTTATTTGTCGTAAATATTTGCAATGCCATCTGTCTTCTTTGCGTTCATGGTACGTGTATTTTTTGTTTGTTATATTATTTTTTTTTTTTTGTAAATTTTATTTTACATATAACACCTAAACAAAAATTTACACATGACAGTTTTTAGTGTTCCAATGTGTGCGCGTGTATTACGTAATGATAATACTAATCGACAAAATTAAAATAAAATTTTGAAAATATTCCATTGAAAAAAAGAAAACGTTATTGGTCCATCATGTGTGTGTGTGCTATCATCTTTTAAATTGATTTACATTCATTAACATAAGTCAAAAATCTTATTAATGAGTCTTACAACGAGGAAAAAATTTAAAAAATAAAATTTAAAAAAATATGTTGATCCAAGAGAAAGATAGTCATAGTGCGGAAAATTATGTTTTTTATACGACTTATCAAACTAATTCCCTTAGACCCAGCGCTGTCCAACATTGTGGCTCAAACGCAAGCCACATCCGGCTCGCGACACTATTGTCTTTTTTGTGGTTTATTCGTAGCATATGAAATCAATCCATTCCTCGATGCTATGGTTAATGTAAATGATTTTTCTTTGCATTGCTACATAAATCATACATATTTTATTTTTTATTTTAACAATAAGAAACAACGATTACTTTTGGAGAAAACATATTGTTTATTATAAATTTTGCTTAAAGTAAATATTAATTTTAATATTTTGCATAGCCTTTTCACAATAATAATAATTATTATTATTATTAGTAGTAGTAGTAGTAGTAGTAGTAGTATTAATATTAATGTTGTTAATATTATAATAATGATTATTATTAATGTTATATATCAATATTATTACTAATATTATTAATATTATTATTAATATTATTATTAATATTATTATTATTATTATTATTATTATTATTATTATTATTATTAATTAATTAATTAGCCCTTTGGTCTGTAAAAGTTGAACAGCGCTGTTTTAAAAGATGTGCTTTGGAAAATATTTGCACTTCGGCAATTTGAGATGCATACACGTATTTATGTATTGTACATAAAAATGACTGAAGAGGTGTTTGTGTGAAATTGGCATTATGCATATATACACGTTTCACATAATTTATATTCATATATATGTTTTTTCTGTCTAATAAAAATAAAAATTATACAAATCCTTACGATTATTGCGAAATAATAATAATAATAATATTTATGAAAAATAATTATTAAAAATAAAATGAAAATTATATTAACGATATGTTAAATCTTAAAACGCAATGATCACAAATATTAAACGTATTGTACTGAAATTAGAAATGAAAAAACTCTTATAAAAGTTTTCCTATACAACGCTGATTATAATAAGAGATAATAATTAATTAAATACAATTTCTAATTACTTTAAAAAATGGCATGAGATAAGATGTTACAATTGGATGAAAGAGGACGTGTTTCAATTTACGTTTACGTTCGTACGAAGGAAGCATTATCGTCCAAGTATCGCTGGGTGTGTTTGTTAGTCAGCCAGTGTTAATTAAATCGATAAAAAAATGAATGATCAACAATGTGCAAGAATTATTGGTACCTTTTTCTAATCAAAGCGAATGTTGTTTATGCTACGTGTTCCGTTATTTAAAAACATGTTTGATTAACACATTGCACTGTTACGATAATCGAATATCCCATTTTAATTGTTCAATATTTTTTTTAATTATAGACTTAAACAATTTGTTTATATTTAAAATAAAAAAGAAAATATAGATACGAATAATTTATTAAATAATCGATTATAAATGTTAATCGTATTAATACGTTGTACGAATATATTAATAAAATATAATTAAATGAATAATATTCATTGATTAATGCAAATGCATTGATTTACACCTACGTACGTGTGCATATTAAATAAAATAATATTTTTAAAATAAAATCCATTAAAATGAAAAGTGTTCAAACAAATAATTCTCGTTACTTTAAAATGAAAATTATTGAAAAGTTTCTGGCTTAAAAAATCCTTTATCACAAATTCGAGTTTACTTCGCGAGATAATACCTTTCATACGTTTACATGCATATTATGTATGTGTGTGTTTATCATACATAGACGTATATACATGTAACCGGAAGATCGTATCTCGTGTAATAAAGCATAACTAAATTTACCCTCGAGTCACGCGAAATGTATCACTTGTTTCTTACGATTGGCCGAAAATTATTTCACCTGGCATTACGAACCAGCACGATTGCAGATATTCCTTAGTTGAATTGATCAAATAATGTTTTACTACAAGAAAAAAAAATAATGTCCTCTCTGTGTGTGTTATATGTACGTATATCTATATTTCTTTTTCTTTTTTTCTTACACTCGGTTCGTGTTAATACGTAATGCTATCTTCTTATGCAAATATACAAGGTGAGCAAATAAAATATTTCTAAGCAAATGTAAAGTTTATAAATTCTTTTAAAAATCTATTATTATAAGAATATTTAAAGTTACATTTTTATTTTATTTTATTTTTTTTAAATCATAAAACTGCGAACTAAATTCGAAAAAAAGTTTCAAATGAAAGATCAGATTAGATTTTGAAAAAGAGTTGGTAAATCGATTTTTAATGCCACCTTGAAACTTTTGGTCCACCTAGAAACTTTAATCTCACCTTATATATATATATAACTACGAATTGCAGCGAATGAAAGAAAAAGAAATGGTGAAACTTTCTTCTTTCTAATTTCACTGGCGTAGACGTTGCAGTTTCTTTCTCTTGACACACCCAGCAATCATCTAAACTCGCGTGATTGTGATAGAAAAAAAAAAAAGAATAAACTTACGTCACTCTTTCGCGTTTTTCTTCTTAATGAACAATGCAATTTACAGGTACATCTATTCTTTCAAAGAACATAAAACTGTAATCTCTAAAAAATTATAATAATACTAATAATAGTTCTGCTATTCGATGATTACGAAGACGAAAAGAAAAAAAAACATAATCAAAGAGCTTAAAACGAATTTTAAAATTAATATGTTAATTAACTTTATAGAAATATATATATATATATATATATATATATATATCTATATGTATATATGTATATGTATAATGTGTATGTTTGTGTACGTGGATGGATTGAAAAGTTCTGAGCCTAAAAATGAAAAAAAAAAACACTTTTATTTGATCGAGAAAACAAAAACATTTGTTTTTATGTTAAGTTTAAAACTTTTCAACCCAGTATACATTGAATATTTTTCGCATTCACAATTCGCGTATAAATAGCACATTAAAACGTAATAATTGTCGATGATACAGGTACGTGATATATTATAATTATAATTATTATTATTTATCAATAATATTAATGCATAAAAAGAGAGATAATATTCGATTAGGAGTTTAATATTTAGTAGGTTTTTGATCGAAGAATACTTGTTCCTTTGTAACTGCACCGTAATTAGAAATTCTAATATTTCTTTCACAGCACGAACACACAATTCCATTTTGAGATAAGAATTTCTTAGAGATCGAAACTTTTTTTAACGGCAGATTATTATTTATTATTATTATTATTAATATTATTATTAATATTATTATTATATTTATAATTATATATATATATATATATACATATATATTTTTTTTCTTATTATATATAATATTATTTATAGCATATCTTCGGTGTCTAAATAGAATATATTACGATATTTTATTGTTATTATTAATATTATTACTATTATTATATTTTAGTTTTGTTTGTTCTTTACACTTTTTTAAAAATTCAAATTAAAAAAAAAATAACCGAAAAAAGGTTTCTTCCTTTTTTTTTCTCTCAATACTATCATAAAATATTATCTAAAATATCACTGTTTCGAATGATTGTATTGTAATCTTGATGTGTCAGATAATTTTTTATTTTTCATTTGATTATATTTTTGTCTTTTTTGTTCATTATGGCATTTGAGAAGAAGATTGACTGACAATTTTTCAAATATTACCTGAAAGATACACTTACGTACATACATACATTCTTACGTACATACATGCATGCATACGTACATACTTACAAACGAACATACACATAATTTGCCTGTAATTATGGAAAAAAATTCTATAGCATGTAATTCTTGAACTCGTAATCGAACATAATATGTAACCATAGTTGATTATTATTTTGCGAATAAAAGATAAATGTTTTCTGTGTATAGATTTATATATACAGGGTGTTTTATAATTTGTCAGACAAATGTTTATATGAATTCTTTTCATTATATTTATTCCTAAAGTATATCCAACATACTATAAAACACCTTGTATATTATATATATATATAGCATATTTGTACAAGAGATTTGCTTATTTCTAATCAAAATAAACTAACAAAAAATAAAATGAAGTTAAATGTTTATAATTAAATCGAGCTTTCATTTAAAATAATAATACACATTTAGCCTCTTGAATATGATATATATCTTTTCATTTTTTTTTTTTATACTATTATTGATAATTACTATATGTATATTTACTATATATATATATTATATATTGTGTATATATATAATATAGAGAGAGTCATTTTTTGAAAAATATATGCACGTGCGCATATGTATGTGTATGTGTATGTGAGTGTACATATATATATATATATATATATATATTATATATATAAATATAGATACATTATTATGTAGGCTTTGAGTACGCACGTTTAATTATGGTTATTTTATTTTATTTTATTTTTTTTTTTCTTTTCTTTTGCAAAATGTAAATTATATATATATACTAGGATGGGTTGAAAAGTTTTGAGCCTCGACAAAAAAAAAACATTCTACGTTAGTTTCAAAACTTTTTTCAATCCACCCAATAGTATATTAAAAGTATATTCTATATATATATATATAGAAATTTCTTTTTTTTTTTWTTATATTTTCTGGCACCTAAATCGAATATTAAATGTTTGAAATATAATTAGAAACGAAACGATATGTTATTATTTTTTCTTGTTTTAATTTAATAATTATAATATGTCGCCAATGAGATATTTTTATATTATTAAATAGAAATTATTTAAACTAATGTGTTTGAATGATATTTAATCGTAAAATATTTTGTTTCTTCTTTTTTTTTTTCTTTAATCTTTTTGATTTCTTTTTTTTAATGTAAACGAGTATATGAAATAATAATATAATACTTTGTTATATTATTTTTCTCTTCTTGTTTAACTTACAAAAATCTATCATTGGAAAAAAAGAAAAGGAATAATACTTGCAGAGAAAGAGGTTACTGTATTACGCGTTCAACTATATAGAAATTTCATAGCAAAACTTGTGCTCTACGTACATACCGTTTTATCCACATTTACATTGTATATTGTGATAGTAAAATTTTCGGTGTTACTTTGGGGGTGAACACATCGGGTCAGGCGTTACACCAAGCCAAGACCACCTTTTTAAACGGTACGAAAATCGCACGATCTGGTTCACTGTTAACATACAAATTCATAAAGTTAGATCAATAGAATATCTTTTTTAATTTTTAATATAGATAATTATTACGAAATTAATTAAAAATCACTAATTGTCAGTAAGTCAAAAGTTTCTACAATTATTTTTGTCTTTTTACTCTTTTTCATGAAAACTTTTAGCTTTTTTGGATCATAAAAAGAAGTTTATAAAACAGCTAGTTTAAAAAGTTATACTAAGATGTAATTAATTTGTAAAGTTTGTTGTATTAAATATTTTTTTTTTACGGATTTTTGATTAATCTTGTATATATTAATCGAAAATTTGTACTCTAAAGAAATCAATATTACAATAATTGTTTACATAAGTATATTAATAATTTCAAACAAAATTAAAATAATAATAAATATGGAATATTCTTAAAATAGCAAATTTACAAAAGTTCAAAATTGTTTATAAAATATTTTAGAAATTAGTAAAATATTGTTAAAACATCTAAGAAACTTTTGAGATTTATTCCGTATAATATTTGAACTATTTTTTAATAAATTAATGTCTTAATAATTCTAACAAATATATGTTATAAATCATTTTGAAGCAAATAAATAAAATTCAACATAAAGTAATGTAGAAAATGAGCTGTTTGTTAAGAAATGTTCATTTTATAGTTTCTGGTTTGGAAGTATCGATAGATAGAAAGAGAGAGAGAGAGAGAGAATTGTGGTCGATCGATCGTTTATGTATGTGAGTATAAATTCTAACTCGAGATCAAAATCTGAGGAGGCGCACTTTCAGGGACGTTGATGATGGTCACGCGAACATCGTCGTTGCGTTTCGAGTGATTTTCGTATAAGCTCCTGTAATGCCTGCACGAGGTATTTCTCACGACAAAGATTCACGCGACAAGTTTCCTGCAATTTTATGAGACATTATTTATCCATCTAATCGACGATAATTCTTGCCACATCTATACTCAGATTAAATATAGAATAATCTCATTTCTATTTTTAGTAGAACAACAATAACAACAACAAAAAACACACACGACGCACTTGAAATTTAATTAAATTTAATGTACAATTATTAAAAAAATGATTAACTTAATTATGATTTAATAATAATGAAATTCAGGTACTTGGATTGGATCAAATTTAAACAATGATATAATTCCAATAATAAAGAAAAAAAACATTGAAATAAAATCAGAATTAATTCCATAAAAAATGATGGTGTTTTAAAATAATTCATAATATCAAATGTGTGAAAAATAATTTGAATTAACAGATATTTTAGTATTTCAATATTATCCTTACAAGTTAAATTAATACATACGCCAATGTATTTGCGTATGCATATGCACGTTCAACTTAGCGAGTAAAATAACGACAAGACGAAGAGAGGCAAGAAGAGAAGAGAAGAGAAGAGAAGAGAAGAGAAGAGAAGAGAAGAGAAGAGAAGAGAAGAGAAGAGAAGAGAGAGAGAGAAAAAGTATATATGTACAAGGCGAGGCCCGTCGAAGGAGGTATAGCGAGGGGTTTATCGCGAACAGAATTGCTTTTGTCACGCAGCTCGTACTACGGCCCATTACCTCAAAAAACATTATGCAATTACGAAATTAAATACATCGGACCATTGGTAGGGCATTTTTTTTCTTTTCTTCCTAAGGATAACACATTTACTTTAACCAAGTCTCGACTCTCTTTCTGTTTCCTTCAAAACCGATTCAAAACTAAAACTTCATTTTTTTAAATTATTTTTTTTTTTTTTTTTACAAAAATAATAATACGTTTTAAAAACTCTTCATATCGTATCAATTGTAGTTTGAAATTTTATGTATTTCTATAAAATATAAAAAAAAAAAAAATATAATATAATAGCACAGCACACACAACACTTACCAATCGAAAAATCTTCTACCATGAAATGTGCCATCGGAGGAACCAGTGACGTTTGGTAATTCAACACCAACATGAGAATCCTCTCGACCAGGAACTGGACCAACGTATCGGACACGACCTTGAAGGACTCTTCCTTCCGGTGATATTACTTTGACAAGATGATCTAATTTCAGATCTCTTGGTATCTATCAAATAAAATATATTCTTAATGATTGTCATATACAAATAGAGACATGGTAGGTCGCAAAAGTTTCTACAATTGTAATTTTATAATCTAAAAAGAAAAAACTGTTGTGAAAAGAAAATGTAAGCAATTAATTCTTGAAATGATTTAAAATCTTTTGAGCTTTCATACGATAAGCGCGCTCCGGGGTTGAATATTATTAATAAATTATTAATCATTTGACCAATATAATAAGGTTTTAGAAAATTTTCTTGTTTTGTGTTATTTATTCAAATCAGGTCATTCACCTTTGGCAGGTAGGGTCTCGCATCCTGAGGGGGAGTCCATTCGCGTGCAAGATCAGGTTCGGAGTGCCTTCGAGTTCTTCTCCTCCTGGCTGCTATTTGTCTGTTCCAATAATCCGTACTAGCACTGGTACTCGAAATGGTCAGCATAGAATCAATACTTCGACGCAAATAATCCTCCGCCTCGTCTATCAGAGATTCCGTTGAATCTCCGCTATTGTCACCGGCACCTACTATGTCTGAGCGCAAGTTAGGTAAACTGCCACGCGTCATTGGACACTCTGAAATGTAGAAATACGAGAGCTTCGTTTAAATGTAATAACTTTCTTTTTGTTAGAGGATTAACAAAGGAAGAAGTTTACGTAATATCCTTTCAAACGTATCCAAACGATTAACTTGTATCTCGAATTATATTTAACTTTCAAACTATATTATATTTATTTAATCCTTTATCAAGTTTTTTCTTTTAGAAGAGATAGTTCTTTTTAGACAGCAAGCAAATTTATAAATGTTTGCGTAAGCACAAATACTGAGAACAAAATAATATTGAATGTAGCAATTAATTCGGTGCTTTTAAAAAGAATCAAAAGTGTAGTATTTATTTATAAAATAATCGTAAATCTGTTATTCTTCGAAAAATAATGTCGCTATTATTTTTGATGACTTTTATTCATATTTCAAGTAACCACCGAATTCCTTGACGAATGAATTTATTATCAATGCAACGAGAATTAATTGCTGCATTTGACAAGTTGTAATCAACAATATTTCGATTAGAATGAACAGAATAAAAAAGAAAAATATCTCGTAGAAATTTGTGCATTTTCTTTTTTTTGTTGTTTTTTTTTTTACCTTGAAAAGTGACTTTCGAGCGTGTTCTCTTTGGTACATTCTTCGATGATCTCGAAGTTGCAGGAGGATGAACATGAGTTGGAGAAGATGGCATAGATGACCAAGTTGGTCTAGGTGTAGAAGTAGCAACAGGAACTCTCCATGCATCGAAAGAAGTTGCTGTTGTTCTCCAAGAGTGTCTCCTTGGTGGACCACTGACGACTTCTAATCCTGGCGATGGTATCGAGCTCAAGGAACCTCGGTACCTCGAGGAATAGAGATCAGCCGACAAACGACAATCGCAAGGACTTGGTAAAGTCGTTCCTAGATTACAACGAGGCCAATAACCTGCTGGTGATCCTAAAGATTCGCGACGATGTACTTCCGGTGTACGGTGTCCACATCCTCGAGATCCTAAACAAGTCTGGAACACGTTGATATTTTTCTAAAGAAAATTAGACAAATCAGTTTTGTTTTTGTTTTTTTTTATATGAAATTATTTGATTTTATATATTGTAGAAACATCAAATAGGCTAATCAATTTTTATCAATATTTGATGTTGTATAAAGTAAAATTTATATTTATATTTATATATATATATATACGATATGAAAGTAATGAAGATACTTACATGTATTATTTATACAATCATCTACGAATAATTAATTCTTTCATGAATGAAATTAAAATATCGAAGAATATAAATCATTTAATCGTTACGTTTATTTTTAAATGATCCAACAACTCTATACATTCGTATAATCCTAAACGTATATTATTCTCATATAGAGACATCGAGACTTACTTAGTCGGAAAAACACGACTCTAGTTAATTTTTCTCACGTTCTCTCATGGACGTGGATGTAAACGTAGTTAAAATGCATCCGCGGGTAGATGGGAAGAGACCATAACTCGAAGTAAGGTATATACGATGCAATTAGTCATCATCTGAGACTTAGATAGGTCAAAGCAAGATAGATATATATTGAAAAAGAGAGAAAAGAAATAGGAAAGATCACTATAATAGCGTGTTCATAGATGTAAAGCAAAACCGCGTTAGAATAGTTCCATTCGTTGGTGGCCTTCTGGATGCACACAGTGAGCATTATTGTGCGTGCATACTACTAGCACACGTTGAATTAATCAAGCTGTTATTACGCCGACTGCCGTCCGTTTCTCTTCTCTTCTCTTCTCTTCTCTTCGTACACCGCCAACATCTACTCTATTACAAGACTTACGACATCAAGCAAACACGTGTCAGGGTTATATCTTTGCGCAATAACTTTAAGAGAATGAGTTCCGCGAAAATCATCTCCAAAAACGCTAAAAACCGGGGGCGCTGTACATTGTTACCAATTTTTTCTTCTTTTGAAAAAATACAAAAAAAAAAGGAAATTCTTTTCACTGTTGTATTTTGTCTTTTTTTTTTTTTTTGTATATTTTACCTGTGCATGAGGATCGTGACAAAGATGATCAGCACTTCTTGACAATTCTGGTACCATGCTGGTGAAACTGATGTCCGAGAGTAAAACTCGTCTTGCTTCGCGTGTCTTGTCAGACAACCTTAGCCTTCCGGATACACCAGTCGGCAATGCGAATTTACTTGGAAGCGTTGTAAACGTGTGAGCCACTTTATGTGCGAGATAACTTTCCGAACGCCATTGTGCCGGGAGGGCCGAAATGTCGGTTTGTGCTCCTGACTCACGTTTGGCACCACTACTACGATCCATTACAGGACGAAGAGGTGCTGAACTTTTTCTTCTACCACCAGCCAAAGCTTCCCGATGTATTATTGGCCTGTAATTATCCAACGTGTAATCATGTCAATCATTTCTTTACCACTTTCAAATTACATATTTTTCTTAATTAAAGAAATCAAAAAATATATTTGAAATGATGATGATGATGATGATGATGATAATAATAGTAATAACAATGATGATAATGATGATGATGATGATGATGATGATGATGATGATGATGATGATGATGATGATGATGATGATGATGATGATGATGATGATGATAATAATAGTAATAACAATGATGATAATGATGATGATGATGATGAAAACGATGTTGATAGAGATTATTTTTTTATTACATATATTAAAACAGAAACAAGGTTAGTATCTATAATCGACATTATTGTAAGAGGAAAAATTTAATAACACGATATAACACGTTGCTCGTTTTATAATCTATGCACTATATTATATGGGTTACTGTAGCAAAGTTATTTTTGTTCTTGCATCAACGTTCTTCTCCGAGTAAAAGTGTATACGTTTTATTAACAACGATAGGACCCTTATAAATCATAAATAAATATCATATAATTACTTTTTCAACATTGTCAGAGAATTTATTGGTACATTGACCCTTTTCATCTTGTAAGAATTTTTTATTAATTGGTTAAATATATTTTGACGTTATTACGCCAATGAAATTTGTCGTTTGTAACTTATACTACTTATAACCGCCAACAGGGGAGTACATTTTAAATACACTTATCTAGCTGGCTCGTTGAGAGAGAGAGAGAGAGAGTACCGTCAGCGTTAGCATCCATTGGTACGTAAAAACAAAGCCTCTTCAAAACGAGCGAGAACACTTTACGATCGGCAAGTGACTAATTACGTTCCCTTATGTGTGTATCTATCTGTGTATATGTGGAATACGTAATGTATGCAAACACTAACAGGAAGGCCTATTTTCTGAAGTAGTGAGGTAGAACGGTAAAGAAGAGTAATGGATGTAGTTAGAACAAATAATGTAAATATAAAACATACTACGTTTCTAAAAGCCAAACGATTATCACTTAATATCGTAAACTTTAATATTCGTTTGTTCAAATGAATTATAAATGAATGAGTAAATTAAAAAAAAAAACAAACAAAATAACATAACAATAATATTTCTAATTATTTGACCAAACTCATAAAAAATAAACATTTTTAATTCGTATCAAAATGTGTTGTCTGCGTATTTTGTTGAAACTTTCCAAAGACAATTCAATGGATATAATTAAAAATATGTAAAATACCTGTAAGCAGTCGGAGGTGCAGCCAAAGTGTTTCTTCTAGTTGCATGCCTAGTTGAATGTTCAGGTTCCTCCAGTACACCACACTTGCTGATGTCAGTTTCAACAAGAACGGAACATTGAGACCACATCTTGTTTAGTCTGGTACTAGAACTCTCGTCAAATCGATCGACGCTTTCTTCCCGATCGATACTGGAGCTTTGAGATGAGACTGCTTCTTCAACAGAGCTGGTCTTATCACCGTTACAAACAAGAGACTCTCCTTCGGAAGATTTGGTATATTTTAGAAGTGCCGGTTGCCCAGCGGGATTTGGTTGCTGCCAAGCATCAGTTTCTGTTATGGAAACGAGATCTTCTTGAAGTCCTAAATCCCTACACGTATCATCTGTCGTAAATATTAACTCTATGTCATCGAGTTCCTCAGAATCATTTTCAGATTGATCATTTAATTTCCCTTGTTCACCCGATTGACTCTGTTGCCTATGCTGATGTTGCTGCTGTTGCTGTTGTTGCTGTTGTTGTTGTTGCTGATGTTGCTGTTGTTGACTTTGTTGTTGCACAGATCTTTGCTGCGGCGGCGACTGTGGTTCAGGATTATCACTGAAGACAGAATTATCACCGTCGGAAACAGATCTAAGGCTCAAATCTTCACTATCTTTTTCCGGTAAATCAAGACGATCTATTACAACAGAACCATCGTTATCGTCCTGACCATCGTCCTGAACATCATCCTCGCAAATATCTTCTTGACTCTCTTTAGACAGCACTGATATTAAACGACTGGTACCGGACTCTTCCTGACCTAGACTACATCTAGATTGTATTCCATCCCTTGAGGAATGCTGTTGATGTTGTTCTTCTATTTGTTGTTGTTGTTGTTGTTGAGTTATTGTTTCCGATGATAAGGATGGAAACTCAGGACGAGCACGGCGTATTACCGATGCACTACCAGTTTGAATTTCAAAACTGGAGCTACCGATACTTCGCCGGGTCGCACTCGTTCTGATCGTTTCTGACGTCTCGTCGACGACAATTTTATTCCCTGACGCATCCATCGTGGCGCTAGCCGTGTCTGCTGCTGCTGATGATGATTGCCTATAACAAACGCGTGCAACGTTATTCTTTTAAATTGATATGAGTCAAATAGAAGATAAAAAAAAAGAGTTTACTAAGTTCTCACCATAATTTCTAAAACTTATTGATCATTTTCTAGGAACGAACGAACCGTTTGCACGTAGAAAATAAAAGAAAAAAAGTACAAACGGATAATTTGACGTTTCCTCTACGCTTATGAAGAAAAATAAAAAAAAACAAAAGTTCGTTAAATTTGAAAAGGTTTAGCAACAATAATGAAATTGCCTATTTAACGAGCGTTAACCAACTCAGCGATGTTTTTACTATGGGTTCGTTGATAGAGGCAAACTCCTTTTGTATAACTCCAAAGGAAAACTCGTAAATAAGGCTAAGCGCTTCCAGCTTCCAGTAGGTTGCACGTAACGAGTTTGCGAGCGTATCGTTAAAACGTGTTATCGGTAAGAATAAGTAGACAAAACAAACAAATGATGAGAAGAATAAAAAAGGAAAATAGAAATGTAGGATAATTTGTAGTCCCTCGTAAAAATTCATTGGCTTTTCTTTTATCGTTCATACCAAAAGTATGCGTGCGTATTCGTTGAAAAACAAAAATAATACTACATGTATAGATATTAATTGTATACGTCTATTTTTATCTATAATTTGTTAGATAAAATAATATATTTTTGTCATATTAAATATGATATTTGTAAATCCGGTCAATCCATAAATTTAATTTACAAGAAACTGTAGAATACCTGGCCAGAGATCTACATTTTTTGAAATGTACAATGAATATTCTCATGGACTATTACAAGTGTGTGCAAAGTTTGAAAATAATTTGAGTCTCTCGTAAATGGTCCCTGTTCTTGCAAGTAAATTATTTTACACTTTCAAAAGGTTTCTAGACGATATTAATTAGAAATTAATTATTCTTTTTTTTTTTAAACTTTTAGGCCATATTTGTTTTCAGATTGCAAACAAATTGCTTTTGTTTATACGTCAAGTAATAACATATTTGTAATAATCAAAATTACATGTAAATATTGTAATATTTATAAAGTTGAATGATAATATTAATAGTTCATTCGTATTGGTAGAAAGTATATAAGAAATTTTTTTAGTGTGAGAAAAAATTCAATGACCTAGTGAAAAGAAGAGTACGAGACGAAGTAATTAGTCAATTAACAGTGTCAGAGGTCTTACGAAACTCACTCGGTAGGGTCTTCTACTTGAAGTGGAACGAAACGAGGCTGGTGCGACGGCGGCTGTGGACTCGTAGCAGCATCGTTGGAAAAGTCGGTACTTCTGCTAAGGATCTTACGTCTTAGAACGTGGTTCTCCAGGGCTAACCTTTCAACCACCTCGACGTATTTTTCCTCGGAAAATTCACCAACGCTTTCCTTCAATCGACGTAGTTCTTCGCGCGATGAATCCAATGCGGATCGCAATGATATAACCGTCTAAAATTTATATCAAAATGATGTTTTTTAATTTTAAATAATATCATATATACATATAATTTTTTATTAACATAATAAATAGACTAAAACTATGTTAAATAAAATACAATTTTCAGTATTTCATATTGAACAGAATTTGATATTTATTATTGAAAATATGATACTAAATTCTATCGTATATATTATAATTGTGTAATTTATTGAAATAGAAAATATTGCGAATTTATTGACCAATTCAATCATATTATTATTGCATTAATTATTCGAATAGAGAATATTGTATATTTTGATATAACTTATTTAATTATTTTAACATAAAATGATTCAAAAATTAAGATATATAAAGTATGAGATTAAAACGGTATCAGCATATTCTATGTATAAAACCAAAAATCAAATATATTACATATTAACCCAACCCAATACATAAATGAATTACTAATTATGATAATTATATAAATAAAAACTATTTTTAAATAATAAACAATTGTATACTTCTTATGGCAATGAATGCAAGAATAATACAATAAAAACATTTATGACTCATTGTCGGATCAAATTATTGGTTCATATTTGATCAAAAAAATATGTATTGTATTGGCATAAACTTGTTTGTTCTTGGCTATGCGTAAAATTTGCAAAAAAACTGTTTTGACAACGTCTGGTGAAATTTATTCTGAAAGATTAATTGCGAACTTAAAAAACGTAAGTTTTCTATTCAAAAGGAATGAAAATATTTAAACGATTTTTACTTGTGAAGAAATCTTCTAGATTAATCTGGTATGAGTTCCTTTAAAAGCAATAGTGAGAATAATAGAATCTGAAGAAATTTCAAGGATACTCCGTTCTAGGACGAAGATAAATTTATTCCACAGTTCGATCGACGTTATTGACAATATTTTTTCCTTTAAAGAAATGATCATGCAAAACGCAGGAGAAAAGCATTTTGCCTTATCGATTAAATGTAATTTCAAGTACGTACAACCATTGCGTTCTTTGCTTTTAACTGATTTGCCAAAGAAACATCACAAAATGTTACGATTCGTGCTCCAATTGTGGTTGAATATCCCGAACGAGGTCGACTCATTAAAATGTTAACATATTTATCTAATACAAATGAATTCAATTTTTATTCGTTATAATTACTTTATATTCTTTTTCAGTTTTATCTCTTCCTCCGTCACTTTTTATCTTCTTTCAAAACTCATTGCATTCAATTTAATTATAACGTTTCGAAAATAAATTATATATTTTATTTAAAAAATTGTTTTAAATAGTATACCTAGACATAAAAAAAATATACATAAAATTGAAAACAACTTAAAATTTATAATTTCATGAAAATATGTGATTCAATAACGAACAGGTGAAAATGTAGACAAACTAATGCACACACATAAATGAAAACAAAACAAAAACTAGAAAATTCTATTCTAATTAATCTAAACAATCGTACAGATATATAGTTTAATTGTTCATTAAATTAAAAAAGAAAAGTATTAATAGAATAATAATAATAAAAAAAAAAATAAAAAAAAAATAAGAAAGTTATACACGTAACGATAAAATAATCGTGTTGTTAGGCACATGCCTCGTGAGGATATACCGAGAATTAATTAAAGGTATGTAATAAAAGAGCAGAACGAAAAAGTAGAGAAGGGTGGAGCGAGAAGAGAAGGAGGAGGAGAAAGGGTTGGTATACAGTTTTCTGGTATTATATTTTGAAGCAAATATTTCGCGGTACGATGTTCGTTGATTATTATTTCTCGATTTAATTCGCGCGTGTGTCCCTAATGACGACTACTGCTCGGCCAATCGTGGTTGGTGGTTCCTAAGTACTTACTTTCATAGCAAAAGAATTGCTATTGCTGCTGTTGTTGTTGCTATTTGCTCGAGGAAACTCGAATCAAACTTACACCGTCATTATCCGCGACCATTAAACGCATAGTACTGAAATCCGCGAAACTTAACTTTCGAAATGGCAAGACTCGCAAACCTATTTGAAATTAAGCGAAATACAAACCTGACGAACGGTTAACTTGTCGTTAAGTCGTGATCTTTCCATTAACTATCCCCTAATTTGACTCCTTCATTTCTCTGTAATAAGTTCTGGAAAGTACGTAAATTCTGAAAAGTTGATAGGAATGCCCAATGCCCAATAAGTTTAGCATGGATAAGTTTCAGAACTTATCAACTTTTCAGAACCTATGTACTTTTCAGAACCTACGAACTGTTCAGAACCTATGTACTTTTCAGAACCTACGAACTTTTCAGAACCTACGAACTGTTCAAAATCTACGAACAAAAGTTCGAACAAAAGTCTGAAAACAAAACATACGAACTTTTCAGAACCTAAAAAATAAAAAATATTAAGAAGCAAGAAAATGGTTTCCGAAATATTTGAGTGTAAGAGTAGTGAAATCCGTCGAACTGAAAAAAATCGAGTGAACTTTTACTGGACAAATTTTCAAACTTATTGTTCTCCGAAAGAAAAAAAAGTTTTGTATGAACAAATTTAATTCTACATTTTAGACTTTCATGTAGACTCACTGCGGAATCCTGTACCATTGTAAAATCTTGCTCGTTTGTACCATCAGTAACAAGACACCCTGTATATGTACAGGATATAAAGTAACAGATTTGTGAGGAGAAATATTAAGTATCCGATTTAATTTTGCTCTTAATAATAATAATACTAATAATAATAATAATAATAATAGTAATTCTGTATCACATCTCCTATACTAACATTATTAAAATATTCTAACTTGAATTTAAAATACCGACCACCCATTTAATAATAATAACTGTTTTAAAATGAAAAAAAAATACAGGGTAGGTAATTATTTGTAATTTTCTATACGAGGTCTGGTATCTTTTAACGAGATTAATACGTTCGAAACTTACATTTTTTATTCGCAGAAATGGATTCGTGGGAAAATCCAATCGAATCGAATCAGAATCGTCCATGTAAAAATGATATCCTAACTACATAACGGAACAAGAGTCAATCTGGCAAGACAAGAGTCCGCTAGAAAAGTGAGTAGTAAATTAGCACGCTATTGGCCGGAAAAAGCGAACTACTTTATTTCCCTCGACGAATAGAAGTCGATTGCTTAATTGCCGGGAAACGATAAGTTATAATTATCCTTAACACGAAAGAAGAAATAGATATATATATAAAGAAAAAAATATAAAAAAAAGAATAGAATAACATAATTCTAACATAATCACGTTTACTGGAAATTTCTAATTCGTTTCAATTTAAATTAAGTTATTATTGGTCGGAAATTATTCAGGAACCTAGCAATCGTCAGAATGACTACGAATTAACTAAATATATTAATCTCATAATTTTAGAATCCATATTTAACAAAAAATTACCAATTCATAGGATAGCTCTCTTGTATTATACGATTTTAAAATAGTAAGATTGTTATTTCAATCTATTTTTATAAATTGAAATAACATTTTTAATAATATCGATAACGCTACACTAACAAAACATTACAAAAATTAATTTTTATTTTGAAATTCAAATCTTTAAACTGAATTAACTTATAATTTCAGATCATCAAGGGTTGATAATTTCTTGCATAAAATTCAATTGATTACAAAATTATATATTATAATTATGACGATGGACTAATTATAATTAAAATAATTAAAAAATTTATGTTATGATTTATTTAATAATATAGATAATTGTAATATAAAATTAAGTTTATAATCCAGTCCACTGACACCATTACCGATATATATATATATGAACGTAGAATAAAAAATATTATCAGAAAAGAATAAAAGATAAGAAATAAAAAAAAATACCTGATGCAGAGCTCTCACGACGTCCAATCCGGAGATTCCCGGGGATGGCAGGGTGAGCTGCAGCCCCTGGTGATGAGACGACGCTCGACCGGTTTCAGCTTCCATACCTCCTCCTCCTTCTCCACCTCTTCCTCCTCCAACACTAGCACCACCTTCTTAACCACCTTCACATTCACCTCTTCTTCCCTCACTGTTTCCTTCTTTTCCTTTTTCTCTTCCTCTTTCTCCTCCGCCTCCACCACCTCCCCGCCCAATGTTTCGAGCCAACTTTTGACACCGGCACAGAACATGCCGAATCCTCTTTTGTCCCTCTACTGTCGCGCGTTCCACTTTCTCCTAACACTTTGGATTACTATTATTTTTCAAATAGTCTTTTTTTCAACGAGTATCGTCCGATTAACGAACAATTAATACTGCGCTACAATTTATTAATAGTCTTTCATAAATCACTTTTGTATATTTTTCTTATAAAAAAAAAAAGAAAAGAAACAAAACTCTAGAGATTTATCTCTTTTCCCGTTTGTATTTATTATTAATATCTTCGTTTATATTTATCCTCGATCCATACGGGATTGGTGCAACACAACATTGCTGTCTCTTTCTTTTTGAACATCCACTTCATTCAAGTACCTTTTCTATCCCAAAAATGTTGATACGACATTATTGCCTCTCTCCCTGCTGAGGTGAAAGAAAAAAGAGAAGATAAAAAAAGAAAAGTAAGGACATCTTTCAATAAGGCCGATTCAGGGATTGGAAAGGTCAACGCTAAACGTAAATAACACGGTATAAACAGGTGTGTTTTCATAAGGGAGAATTTAACGCGCATATCTCTACCGTTCCTACCGCCCTTCGGCGTTTCATCGATAAAAAAAACGTCACCAATTGTGTCCCACCTTTTTCCGAGTTTCTCAATGTGTGTACGCATTCACTGAAAGTCCCTTCTTTTCTTTTTTTTTGTTTTTTTTTTGTTTGGTTTAATGTACACACTCTTTTTCTTTTTTTTCTTTTTTTTGCTATCGTCACTTTCCCTTCATACTAACGAAAGCTTTTTGCACCCGCTATGTAGCAAGTACTGTGCACATGCACAACACACACACACTCACACAAACATACATCTATCACTCTTTCTATCTAACAAGTGCCGCTTACACGCGCGAAACGCGCATTAATACATCGAAGTGTATCAATGCGCACATTCTGCGCGTGATTACTACGCGTCAATGTCTGATTGTGTGTAGCGCGGATTAAAGCCATCCAATGAGATACGGGATATTTTATGCGCTTTATTCCAAGCTCTCAGCTTTAAATCGTCGAGGAATCGTGTGTTTAAGTGTGTTTCAAGGAATTTAAGAAAATAATACAAATAAAGACGTTAAAAATGTAGATAAACGTCGTTAATGTAACACGGATTCTTTCTTTAAATGGAATAGGGATAATAAAAAAAAGTCAAACACGTATCAACTTAGTCGAATCTTTTGAAACGGGATAAAAAGTATCCTTCGGGGAAAAGAACAGCAACTCTTTTTCTTCCCAAATTTGAGCGCGTAGTTGAACGCGGATTTAAAATTAAGCGAAAAAATATATGAAATATGAGACAAAAAAATGAGAAAACTTTAATGATCGGTATAATTATAATCTTTGATATTTTTCTTCAAGACGCTCTCTGTCATATTAGTTTTTTCTATTTTATTTTTTTTTTAAATATATTTTTACAAATAATTTCATTCTACTAAACTTGTTCACGTTACAATTCAATTTTGATTTAACTTACAAAAAAGTATCAGCTTTTAGTAATAATTGTGATGTCCTCTCTAAGATAGAAAGCAAATACGAAATGATGAAAGAACTTATTCCCCGCACAATGTTATGATGTTATTATATACCATACGGGTTCAGATCCCTCTCTCTCTCTCTTTCTCTTTCTCTCTCGTTCTTTCTTCATTCACTCGGTCAACTTTAGTTTTACTTAGTGGGGGATCATCGTTTAGGAAAAGGCGACGTTCTTCATCGAAATTTGGACGAGCAAGGAACGAAGGATTGTCGTCGTTTTGACGGGACAACGATACCGATCGATACGCAACAGAATTCCTTCGACAGCATCATCGTCCTCCTCCTCGTCGATCCTTATACATACATAAATGCATATGTACGTACGTATCTACATACATATATAAGTATTTGTCGTCCTAATCTAGATCGTCGTTGTCGTCGAACCGAAGCACCGCTAGGAATACAAAAACGTTCAACGCGTTTTCGTTTACGCGGAATCTTTTTTCACACTCTCTCTCTCCCTCTCTCTCTCTCTCTTTCTTTCTCACACTCTTTTTCTATATTTCTATATAAGAGAATTATTATGTTTAATACCGAGACTCGATTACTTTCTTAAATCGTTTAAGAATCGTCACCAATCATTCAGAATTCTTCTCCTCCTTAGCATCCGTCCCGTCCTTTTCTCCGTATTTACGGATAATCTTCTCTTAACAAGTTCCTACTTGTTCTCACACTACTGCGATTCTACTACGACACTCTATTCCCCCGTATTTCTTTTGTTCCGGTTAAGTCCCTTTTTCTATTATCCCCAGTCCCTTATTTTTATCTTTTTTTTCTTTTTTCCCTTTTTTTTTAAATCTTATTCAAGATAACGCCCTTTTTCGGTAATATGAGAAACCCTTTAATGTCTCTTAGAACTTGCTATTTGATTCTCATTCGACGACTCCTCCTTCCCCGAGGCCGACGCCGTTTTACGTACTTACGCACCCACGAGTGTCAACGATATAGCTCCAGACCTGTCACTTGCCCCTTTAATGCAGACGACGCGACGGGGCAAAGATACACAAGCGATTACGCAGTGCTACCAACGTTACGTCATACGAGGTCCGTCGCTCCCGACCTCCTCGGTTAACTTCGGTTCACGAATACTACTACGAGATGAGGCCTCGTGTATGTTCGGAAAATTTCGATAATGCGCCAAAATTCGACTGTTTTTAAACGTTCTACAATAATCTCAAACATTTCGATGATTATTTTGATTTAATTATCAAACGATGTTTCATTTATTTTCAATAATATTTTGATCATTTAATGCTTTGTTTTATATCATATAATTGATTGTCGTAAGTATATTTTATTAAATCTTTCGAAGTTATCGTTTTTCTTTTTTATTGTCATTTGAATTTGGCGCTGAAACTAAATATAACGTAATCAAGTATATTGACCAATGACCGTTAATGTCCTTCGCGCGTCGTCGCATGTCGACGGAATCACAAAGTATTAAGCGTTGTCGTCGTGTTAGAAAAGATTTAATGGCACTCTTCTCACGCTTAAAGTTCGTTTAAATGCTCATGACGTTGATGTTATATGACGGTTAAGAGATATAGAGAGGGTACACGAGGGGAGGAAGAAAAAAAAACTCCAACGTCTCTCCCTGGTGAAAAAGTGATTGCGTTGTAATGTCTACTGCAAGAAATATTATTTAAGTTTTTCAAGCTAAACGCTCTTAGGAAGAGAGAAACTTTCATTACATAGGATGGAACGCACGAAATATTGTATTAGTATTTTAGTAAGCATTTTTTTTCACATTTTTTTATTTCCAAATTTTATATCCACGTTGAATGTTTATTCGGAAAATGCAGCCACAAACGAAAATGAAATTACGCCGCAAATCAGTTGGGTGTTTAGTAAACCTGCTGTTGACACTTTGCACAGGATCAAAAGAAATCCTTTGCATAAACAAGAGAATAATTTATTAAGCTCCATGTTACCAAAGTGTAAAATGAATTTAAAAGAACTTTGCGAAGGCATAGACAAAGATGATGAGTTGGTGTTATTAGAATGCATTCAAACTTTGAAGGTATGATATTGTTATATTATTTATAATAGCAATTATGTATAATTATTATTATATTAGAGATGATCTAATTTATATACTTTTTATTCTCTAGCATTTATTTACATTTTTATGTTTACAGCCGAATGAAATGAATATCATCGACACAGATTGTCATCAAGCGATTTGGGATTATGTTAAAAATATTACCAACAATAAGAATGTACATAGGTTGGCTAAAAAAGCATGTGGAGACTATTTGGAAAAATTAAATTGTTCTTCTACGGGAGACGTGCAAGGAGCTTATTTGTCTTGCCTAGTTGAAAAAAGAGAAAGCGTTGAAGACTTGCGTTGTATCGCTTACATCCAACGATTAGAATGGATTGCATTTAGTGATTTTAGAATTATAACACCATTTTTTTCTGATTGCGAAGCTGATATCACGAAGTTTAAATGTGGCAGAATACAACATTACAGAGACATATCGCAAGGACAAATTTTAGCATGTTTGCAAGAACATATCGAAGAATTACAAGTTAAATGTAAACGACGCATACTTCGTGTTTCCGAAATACAAGCTGATAATATTAAACTGGATCGTCAACTATATTTAGCTTGTATACAAGATCATATCTCATTTTGTCCAAATATTAGACCAGGAAGTGGTCAAGTATATAAGTGTTTAATGCAACATAAAAATGAAGAAACCATGACAGAACAATGTCAAGAACAACTTATAAGAAGGGAAAAACTTATTGCCTCCGATTACAAGGTCAGCAAAGGTTTTGTTAAAGCATGTAAAGAGGATATTAAATCGAATCGTTGCAAAAAAGGAGTATCTGAAGACAAAGAAATAAGACTCGCACAAATTTTACTTTGTTTGGAATCGGCTATGAAAAATGGTTCCAAAATTGAAAGAAGTTGCCAAGCTGAAATGTTTGATCATAGAAAATTATTAATGGAAGATTATAGATTATCCCCTGAAATAGTTGATGGTTGTGCAAAAGATATTACCACATTTTGTAAGAGTCTTGAATTTGGTGGTGCTACAATTCATTGTTTAATGGAACATAGTAGAACGCGGAAAAAGAAGTTTAGAGTTACCAATAAATGTCAGAGAGCGGTAATTATAAAATTAATATAAATTTAATATAGTAATAATGTTCTGTTAAATATATTATTAATATCACATCTTTACTTATAGTTAGAACAATTAATAAAAGGAGTAGATGCTGGTGAAGATTGGAGAATAGATCCAGTCTTGAGAGAAGAATGTCAACCTGTTGTCGATCTTGCTTGCCGAGAAGTACAATACTATTTATCATATAAACAAAAATTATTTTTTGCTATTACGTTAAGTAATATTAATGTCATAATTTTTCAGGTACGTGGCGGAGATGCTAGAGTCATATCCTGTTTGACAGATCAAATAGGAACTTCTAGAATGACAGAAGCATGCGAAGCAGCTTTGATTCAAATACAATATTTCGTAGCTAGAGATTATAAATTAGATCCTCAATTGTATAAAGCATGTAAATACGATGCTGTTCGTTTATGTCATGCAGCAAATGCATGGGCTAGTGATGGAACACAAATGGACCCGGAAAGAGGTCCACTTGTATTACCGTGTTTATATAGACACGCCTATCAAAAAAATTTAACAGTAAGAATATGATTTAACTTATGTAATTAATCTATTTAAATATATTTATCTATGTATAATTTTATTTCTTTTTCTTTTTTTAAGTTAAAAACTGAATGTTTAGAAGAAATAAGAAGAGTCATGAGACAAAGAGCAGTAAATGTTGATTTACAACCTGAAATCGAAGAAGTATGTTTAAACGATTTGGCATCATTTTGTTATGATAAAATTGCTAAAGGTGAAGAAATTCTATGTCTTCAAGATAATTTGGATAGGTATTGTATCATCGAGTGAAATCTCTTAAAATCTTTGCATGATTTCATTGGTTATTAATAAAACTATATTATTTATATTACAGTTTAACTAAAATGTGCAAACTGGCAGTGGGAAATTTTACAGAAGTACAAGCGGAACGTATTGAATTAAATCCAATAATTTCATCCGCATGTCAACACATTATGGAACGTCATTGCGAGGTAACAACAAAAATTTCCTTTTTTGTTGAATAAAAATGTAAACTATACTTTAAAATATTACTTGTGGTAAGTTGTATTAAATATTAGAGAGTATATCTAATTGGTATGACATTATGAAATATGATAATCAAAATTTTGTAGGAAGTGCTTAAATATGGTAAAGATGAAGGGGATATAATGGAGTGTTTGATAGAACATAAAAATGAATTAGATGCTCGATCCGATTATAAATGTAAAGCTGCCGTAGAACATTTTCAATTAATATCATTGAAGAATTATCGATTTACATACAAGTTTAAAGAAGCTTGTAAGACTTACGTTAAAATATGGTGCCCCAAGTAATTAACTCATTCTTTATAATAATTGTTAACGTGTATACTCTCTATATCCGAAATACAATAATTAATATTGATATTATCATTATCATAGATCTAAAACAAAGGCAGAAGTTATAGAATGTCTTAGTTCGATTGTACAAGCAGACATAATGAAAAATATGCAACACCGTATACCAAAAGATTGTAGACACCAACTGAAAGCACAATTATATCAACAACGAGAAAATATACAATTTGATCCTGCATTACATACATCTTGTGAACAAGATATTAAACGACTTTGTTTTAACGTAGAAGCTGGCAACTCACAAGTAAAAAATTTATTTCTTGAAAACCTATTACAAAATTTTTTAAGTATATGATAATATTTTAATAATTGAAATAAATGAAAATAATTTTGTTTATGTATAGGTATTAGAATGTTTAGCATCGCAAAAAACAAAATTGTCCGATTCGTGTCATAAGAAATTATTTAACGTAAGGAAACAAGAGTTTCAAGATAGTTCGAGCGATTTTGCTTTGTTAAATATCTGTCGCGGGATGTTAAGACAATTTTGCCATGATGTCAATCGTTCAGGAAGTCTTGACTGTTTGAAAAGATACAAAGATGACCCTACATTTGACGATAAATGTAAAAATATTGTTATTCGAAGAATGATCGAACAAAACACAGATTATAGATTTAATACTGCGTTACAAAGTGCATGCACATATGATATTGACAGATACTGTAAAGGGGTAAAGTATTAATATGTATATTAAATTATTATTTGTTAAAGGTTTTATTTAAGCAAATATAATTATATGTTTTGTTATTATTTGATGTGAAATAGGTTTTAATACATGAGCCAACTGATAAAGAACTCGAAGGAAAAGTTATAAAATGTTTAAAAATTAAATTCAGTGAATCTAAATTGGTGCCAAAATGTGAGCAACAAATGACAGTAATACTTAGAGAAGCTGCTCTGAATTATCACTTGAATCCATTGTTAGCTGCAATGTGTTCAAACGAGGTAATAATATTTTATTTATTTATTTATTTTTATTTTCTAATGTAATGAATAATAAATCATGAACTAAAATTTTGTTTAGATCAAAACTATATGCCGCAACGATAATGATCCTGGTGCTGTCGAAGAGTGTTTGAAAGTCCAGTTCAATGCTGGAGGGAAAGATATGAAAGAGGAATGCAAATTAGAAATAGCAGATTTAATAGAACAAGCAAAAGCAGATATCAATGTTGATCCTATATTACAAAAAGCTTGTGCAGTTGACGTTAGCAAATATTGCAGTGACATTCCACAAGGAGCAGGAAGACGTAAGTCAGATAAAAAGATAAGAGAAATGTATTAAAATTATGACAGCGATAGTTATAATAAAAACTTGAATTTTTTCAGATATCATGTGTCTGCAAAATGTTTTAAAAGACAATAATAAATCTTTAGAACCAGATTGTTATAAAATGTTGACAAAAAGAATGGAAATGTTCAGAAATGCTGCTAAGGTAAAGGGAATATATTTACATTAGAATGAAAATATGTCATTATTAACTATTACTTATTTTAATATAACTTCTGTTACATTTGTAGTTAACCGCTCCTAATAGTATAGAAGAATTATACACGTCTCTTAACCGATCTCCCGCAAGAAGATACTTCATGATAATAGCAATTACACTTGTTGGAATTATCTTTATCATTGGTATGTTCTGTGGAGGGGTAACAAGAAGAACAATGCTCATGAAAAATAAGTGATATATTCAAGTTGGGCTTATCCGTCCACCAAAACAAAAAAGAAAAGGAAACATTTTCGCATAATTATAAGTTAATTTCAGAAATAAGAAAATATTGCGGTATTTAAATTTTGGAACTGTGATCATTTATTCACACATTTTTCTATTATTAACTTATTGAAAAAATTATCAAAAACTGTCAAGTTAATATAAATATTAATCTTTTATAGTTTTCTTTATTATGTGTATAAATATAAATAAATATTTATGATCTTGTGCGATGTATATAAACAAACATACACACAACTGTAAAATTAATTTTATTATGTCATAAAGAAAAAAAGAAGACGGAAAAGAGAGAAAAATACTATCATATGTATAAAAGAAAGTTATGAAATGTCAATGTTACAAAGTGTTTACAAGCAAATTTAAGTATATTAGGGTTTAATAACTGCCGAAAATATTAAATGAAGTCTTGGATGAAATTTATTTCTTATGTCGGTTTTTCTACGTATTTGTAAGATATATATACAAAAATTCATGAAAACAAGTAATAAAAAATGTTTATCTTTTATTTCAAATTAAACAATTAAATTCTTACACCTGGAAACATTTGTCTTCCATTTTATCAAATTGACAATATTTGAGAATATATTTAGTTGCTATAAACAATATTTGTTGTCTATGAACAATATTTGTAAAATTCTAATCATAAATGTATGCAAATTATATTAATTTTAATTTTTTGCCAATAGAATTAAATAAATATTAGTCATGTAAAGAATCAAAATACGAACAAAAATTAATTATCTTTACAATAACTAGATCTTGTATAAAACCTATCAAACAAAAAAAAAATATATATATATATCAAACATTTTAAATTATGTTAAACTTATATAAATATCCTCTTAATAATCCTAAAAGAATAAAATTTATTTTAAGAATTTAATCAATTAGTTCTTACAATTAGATGATACGAATGCACCGCCATTGCGTAACTACTTGAATCAAAGACTTTATTGAAAATAGTCTACGAGAAAATTTCAAAATACTGTTAAAGATATCGGAGTTTATAACGAAGGTCACAACCACGCATAAGAGATATATATACATGAATAATGATGGCGCGGTATGGTTTTATGATTCTAATTCCACTGATAGCCCTCAATCTTCGAGTTTATACGGCAAAGTCGAGTGATCAAGGTTATTGTTTGAGTTACTCGCCGCGTGGTGGCATTGCGATCAGTGGCGTAAAAGCAAAGGCAAAGGAACGTAACGTTATGGACGAAAGAGAAAGAGACGGATAATTTGCGTGGGTGGTGCGGAAAAGAGTAAAGAGGGACGATGAAAGCAGCGATACGATAGGAAACGGTGCATACGCGAGTTCTGGTGGATACATTGAACGTTGCGAGTTAACGTGTGCCAAGTAGCATCTCGTAGTTCATCTGTTTACTATCTTATTTTCCGTATCTTTTAACGTATCGAGTTGACTTTCTACATTGAACTCGTTCGAATGAAAAAGATAGTTTGATAACGTCGTAATACAAAAAGTAAACCGCTTCTTAGCTTTCTCTTTTTGAACTTCGATCGTTGTTTCGTTTACGGTTGAAGGACATTATTGGGACATATGCGAGAAGAATAATTGATAGAGAAAGCGAGAACTGTTGAAAGAAAGAAAATTATGCGAATGAAATCGCAATGAATCGTCATTGGGGAGTACGCGATAGGTGTGGCGCGTAAAAAAAGGCGCGCTGTAAAGTGGTGTGCGCGCGCGAGCGCGTACCCGGTATTTTCTGACTGTAGTAGAATAGTAAAGTAGTGTAGTAGAGTAGTATAGTAATAGTAACGGTGGTAGTAATAAGTAGTAAGAAGGTTGACGAGCGAATGTTTTCTTTTCTGCTAGTATATACGTACATATATGCATTGAAAAATGAAGGCGGAACGTCAAAAGAGATTTTTATCGAGTACTTGGCACGATAGGAGATTGGTGTCGATTTGGTGGCTTTCGAATTAAGTATTGTTATTATTACTATTATTATTATTATTATCGTAAAAAGAAGTGAAATAGAAAAAGAAAGATTATAATATAAATATATTATTCGTCATACGAATAAGTGAAAGAGTCCGTAAGTTGCAAAGAGGAGAGAAAAGAAAAAGCAAGAAAGAAAGAGGGGAAGAGAAAGAGAGACAACACAGTGCAAAAGAGGAAAAAAGAAATTAAAGGAAAAGTGAAGGCGGAGAGATTGGCGGCGGAGCACCGTGTGCCGTTGCAGCACAGCGTGTGCGTGCGTTCGTGCCTATGCGTCCAAGTCCGCCGTGCCGCGGTGATCTTCGCAGTGGCTACGGCCGCAGTGGTGGTGGTGGTGGTGGTGGCGGCGTTTGCGACGACAGTGGAGGTGGTGGTGGTGGCAGCGACGGCGACGGCGACGGCGGCGGCGGAGGAGGCGGCGACGGTGACGGTAAAAGAGAAGGAGTGGAAGTGCTGGCGACGACGGTGACGGGTTGGTGGTGGTGGAGGGGGAGGAGGTTCGTCGTCGTCGTCGTCGTTGTCGTTGGTAGTAGTGGTGGTGGTGGTAGTGACGGTGGTAGTAGTGGTGGTAATAGTAATAGTAATAATAGTAGTAGTGGTGGTAGCAGTGTTGTTGGTGGAAGGAGAAGGGAACCGTCGTGTCGGTTTGTCGTCGTTCTTGAGTTAGCGCGTGTGCGTGCATCGTGTGCGCGTACACCGCTCTCCTTTGAGGCTTGCGCGCGAGCGCGCGAGCGCGTGTGTTCGTGCTATCCCCCCGCGCGCGCATCCAAGGAATTCACGATCGAGCAACACGGAGGGACTCCCAGCAAATGTTTAAATGGACGCATCGTCCATTATCACCCAAGTGTCGCGGGATGACGAGCTAGGCCAGTTTAATAACGAGAAAGGTAGGTAAACATAACGAATACGGCTCCCAATCCTACGCCTTTTTCTACATTTTTCTTCCAGATGCTGGATGGAATCTGCACCTGTTACGGGACTGCACCGCGCCTCTCCTCACCTTGTCTCTCCCAAACTTTGCTTCGGTCTTCTTTTACCTACCCCCCTTTCCCGCTCTCTCTCTTTCTCTTCCTCGCTCTTTCCTCCCCGTTCCTCTCTACTCCTTCTTGTTTCCTCCATTACTCGTCTCATGGTTTGCTTTCCTTCTTCATTATATCTATCTGTTTTTCTCTCTCTCTTTCTTTATTTCTGTGTCTCTCACTCGTTCTCGTTCTCTTTCTCTTTCTTCTTCGTCTCTACTCCTCCATCATCACGCCCCGCGTTTTTGCCTGGCCTCGCCTCGTAGTCGAACCGTACTTCTACCCGTTGCCCCCCTTTCCATCTCCTTTCCTCCTCCAATCCAACTCGTTTCTCTCTTCCGTGCCTATATCTTACCTTGCCACTGTTTTAATTTACGAACCTCCTAGCATTTGTGTCACTAATGCTATCTTCGTCCTACTATCTGTGCGATGACGAAGATATTTGTCGTTGTTACATGTTCGTATAGGACATTATTATGAATGTTAATGATTCCAAAAAATTTAGCCTACTTTCATGTTTTATTTTGTTGATACATCATTTTCTATATGCTTCTAAGAATAAGTTATTTTCAAACAATTTAAGTTTTATAATGTAAGAGCTAGACATATATATTTCTCTTTCCCTCTTCGCATAATATTATTAGTAAGGTTAAGATATTATTTTGTATTTTTATTTAATATAGTCCAATTACCACGAGAGAATGAAGCGGCCAGCAACGGTCCCACAGGTGGCAAGAAACCAAGAGGACGTGGACTCTTGCGTTCTCTACTATGTTGCCTTGGTAGAGGACGAGGAAGTAGTTCTAAAAGTTCCAAAACAAGTTCGCTACAAGGAGATGGACGAGGTTCACCGCCACCAGGAACTGGGTCCCCACGGTATCTTTTACCGCCTGTCAGACACCAGGATATGCATAAAAAGTGCATGGTGATCGATTTGGATGAGACACTTGTGCACAGTTCTTTCAAACCGATCAACAATGCGGATTTTGTTGTTCCTGTAGAAATTGATGGAACAGTACACCAAGTGTATGTCTTAAAGAGGCCTTATGTCGATGAATTTTTGCAGAGGATGGGAGAACTATATGAATGTGTATTGTTCACAGCGAGTTTAGCTAAGGTACTTATAGATTTCTACATTTAACAATCAAAATATACATTTATTCGATTCATATGTTATTAGATAAATATCTAACGTACATTTATGTTTATTTGCGCAGTATGCTGATCCTGTAGCTGATCTACTTGACAGGTGGGGAGTGTTTAGAGCAAGATTATTCAGAGAGTCGTGTGTTTTTCATAGAGGGAATTATGTTAAAGATTTAAATAAGCTGGGAAGAGATCTACAACAAATAATTATTGTCGATAACAGCCCTGCCAGTTATATCTTTCATCCTGATAATGCGGTAAATATTAATTTATGCTCTTTCAATACCAAACTTAAGAATACATAGTTGTAAAATATTAAGAAAAAATTGGATTTTTAGGTTCCAGTGACATCCTGGTTTGATGACATGACGGACTCAGAACTATTAGATTTAATTCCATTCTTCGAGAAACTTAGTAGCGTGGAGAACATTTATACAGTTTTGTGCAACAGCAACCATCCATATAATCAAGTATCAACAACGGTACAAAACAGTCCCAGTCCTGGATCAGGTTCGCTTGGTGCTTCCTAGCCCCACCTATATTCTGGTCAAGTGACCAGTCTTGTTATCACTCGATGTGCATTAAGGAGAATCTTAACTGATTTGTCCAATGCTAACCACTTATTGTGCTGCGATGGATAATCGGGTATGCCCAGTTAGATATTTTATCTAAGGCCAAAAGTATACCCGTATTATTAGTCTCTGGGTGAATAAGATTTCTGCGTATCGTTTCCCTGTTATATATAATAATAGTGCAACATTATTTGCACTTCGCTTTATCGTTGCCTTCACTTTTTCTTCCTAATAAAAACAAGCAGCAACGCGATGGAGAAGAACTAACGTTTACAAAAAGAATAAAAAGAAAAGGAAATAGAAACAAACAAAAACAGAAAAGAAAGAAAGAAAGAAATAGATAGATAGAGACGACGATAAAATGATTTTTATTTTTAAATAATAGGCACACCAATCAGCGACTCTCATTCTATTCAATTTTAATTCATTCAAAACGCGGGTTTTGTTTTAAACATTATAGAATTTTTTTCCTGACGTTGATCAAACAAAAATAAGAAATCGATAAATGCTTCAGTATAATTAGTTAACCCTTTGACTGCGGTGCATTCTCGCACGAAACCGTCGATATTTATATGAGGCGCGATATTCGTATGTCAGTCGTTGCTGTGTGACTGACTCTCGGCACATCGTTATCCTCATTATTTATCATTTTCTATAGAGGATGTATGTGTATATGTGTACGCCTTTCGTAGTCATAGGATTAACTCAAAGTACGTACGCAAATGTGTGATTTATATCTTTGATACTGATGAAAGTGAAAAAAGAAAGAAACGAAGGAAGAAAGAAAAAAAAACAAAAAAAAAAGAAAAAGCAAAGGGCTGAAGAGAAAATAATAACGAATGATATATTTCTTGTTGAATTAGTACACGCAAATTTTTTGTGCTATTGCATGATCTTTACTTGCTGAATACCTCAATGGATAATCTTAAAAATTGAATTTAATCCTGAATATAAGTCGCACAGAGAGAGAGAGAAAGAGAGTCATACGAGAAATCATTAATCAATTAAAAAGTATGAGTCGTTTGACGGGTCGTTCGATGTTATATCTTTTTATTTATTTATTTATGTATTTTTTTTTTTTTTTGAAATTCATTTTATTTGGACCAATCAGTTAATAGATTGTGCATTTCATTTGCTGGCATATTAAAAAAAAAAGATTATATCGCGTTCAAACTTTGAGTCCTGTGTAAAATAAGTTCTTTTTTTTATTTTATTTTTTTTTTTTTATAGCATTTTTCAAAGGATCGACGATAATGAAAAATAATATTTACAATTGTTACGTGACGTAATATTGAGAATGTTTGTAAACAAAAAAAGTAGAAAAGCAGAAAAGAAAAAAAAAATATCCAAAAGGCTGGCAACTTAAAATGATGATCGGAATTTGTTTTCTAATCATTTTGAGAGATATCTTCCTTGTATTTTAAATATCATGAATTTTAATATTAACAATAATAATATTAATAATATTTTAGACTAGGCTATATTAATATTTTCATGATTTGCCGGTACGATTGGCTCTTTCATTTTTTTTTTCTTTTTTTTTTCTCTCCTTTAAAGGGAATGTGTGCCAGATAGTGAGAGTCAACTAATTTAATTACAAAAAAATGATATATATATATATCAATTTAAAGAGACCGAGCCAAAATGCATATCATTCTCTCCCTCCAAGCGCAATCGTACGGATAATACAATAATAATAATAATTAAACAAAAAATCTTATGTTAAATGAATAATTATAATAACATCATGGTTAATGAATTAGGTTTATATAGACATAGAAAAATTCCTTTGATAGGGGTTGGTAGAAAAAAGAAACAATACGTGTAAGTATGTAGCTGTATTCACACTAACAGTGATTGACGATTGATTTTTGCACGCTTTTTATCGTATATATACATACATAAATGCATTATTATGTAATGTACAGATTGCGCATTACGTTGATATATAATCAATCTTATTATCATTGCTTATAATTTTTATTCTCGTTATAATTATGATTTTATTATGTTATTATATTTTTCTTTCCTCAACCTTCTTAAACCTTTGCCATCCCCTACTCCTACCCTTACCCTTTACCCCACTTTCTCATGATTTTCATCTGTCCATCTTCTCATAGTTGTTACATTAATGTTATTATATTATTGTCATTTTGTGATTATTTTTAATAATGCTATTATTATTATTATCATTGTCTAATTCATCCTTCATGTGACTGGTCCACATTTCATTAAAGTATTATATATGTACATATATAATATTTATTATATTATATATATCTATAGATATATATAATACGTATTGTTATATATATCTATATATATATTGTTTATAATGTTCTATATTTGTTGCCGTCACACGAATGTTTTTTCATCGATCGATATTTTTGTACCTTAACCATTTATTACAAATTCGTAATTTTATTATTATCAAGGAAAGAAAGAAAGAAAGAAAGAAAGAAAAAAAAAGATCAATCAATCAATCAAACCTATACAGAAAGTTTAAACACGACAAATTTGTTTTTATTAATATTTTGTTGCATTTTTCATTATAAAAAAAAAGAACAAAAAAAAAATAATAAAAAAAAATATATAAAAATTGTATATTTTCCATATATTTATATATAAATATACACTGTATGTAATAATATCTTTAAAAATTTAATTAGTATTAACTTTTTGTTAAAAATTCGAAAAAAAACACAATCAATATTCCAAAAACAAATTGTAAAAAGGAAAGAAAAATTTAAAAAAAGTATTTTAAATAAATAATATGATGAGATTTTTATTTTGATTTATTTTATTTCTTTTTTTTGTTTTGTTTTTACGAGCAACTTATTTTGTTTACATAAGTGTGGAAAGTTATGTAAAGAGATTAAAATGATATGTATATTCATGAACGCATTACATACAGTGTTTAAAAATCATCTAACATCACTATATAAGAATAATTCGCTGATACATTTTACTTGTGCAATTTATTCTTATTATTTTTTACAAAAAAATTTTCCAAATTTATCAACAATCTTAACGGGAAAAAAAATAATTAGAGAGAAGAATTTTTTACGATAAAAATATATAAAATATTGAAATGAAAGTGTGAGCGTGTGTATGTGGTTTAATTAACATAAGTGAAAAAAATATATAATAAATAAAATTATTCTGTTAGGTAATTCGTATGGCAATGACCTAATTACACGAATTGCGTAATAAATTTATTTTTTCTTTTTAATTTTTTTTTTTTTTTTATTTAGATTACCTTTTTTAGTGTATAATTATTTTATAAAAGATCACGAAAGGTAGAACAAGCTTTTACAAAATTAGAAATGCTTTTTTATTCGTATATAAGGACGTATATACTTGTTTAATAATAATAACAACAACAACACATACACACAGACATATACATACAACCTTCAATTATAAGCGAGGCTTAAAAGAAATAGTATAGACTGTTATAAGTGGATTTGTTTTCATTATGTTATGCATTTGCCCTTATAGTAAATTATAAGAGGATTCAATCGTATTAATGTTAATAATGCAATACGTACTTGAAAAAAATATGTAGACGGAAATATTGTTATAAATTGTAATTCTTTTAAACTAGTATGATCAAATCTCTCTATTTGCTATATTAAAAAGATAATTGAACAAATATATATTAAAAAAGTTATTATAAATGATACTTCCTTTAAGCTCGGATAATCTTAAGTCTTTTTCTATATTCATCAAATAAAACTTCCTAACAATATTAAATGAATTAATTTAAAAGAGACGCGAATTTTGTTGAACACGAATTTTACTCTATTATTTTCATTAATTATTTCCGTATAATAAAATAGTACAAATGAATACAAAAATCTTCTTCAGGCTCTTAACAGAATATTTTGCACGAGCGAAACATGTATGAGTTTGATATAATTTTTAATATTTGGAATGTGATATATTCAATGTTATTATTATTAATTATATGATTTGCGTTGTGTGGCAAAATAGAACGAGATACCGTGAAACACTTGTACTTACAATTAGTTAAAAGGAAAGAATAATATTTTCTTTCTGTAATGTTCAAGAGAAAAAGATACAGAATGGAGTACTTTAAAATGTATCACGCAAAAGAGAGAGAAAGAACAATCCTTTAGCACTTCCATTGAGGCTTTTATATTTACTTTCAATATATATACAGCGATTAATTTATGCATATATGTATATGTATATATTTTTATATACGCACATATATATATATGCTAGAACAATATTTTAAAATTCACGACTTTTTCTAATGTTCCTTTTTTTTTCTTTTTAATGAATTTCATTCTTATTAAGTGGAACACATTGTTAAAAGAAAAGTCACGAATTTTTTTACGTTGTCCTGGTATATACAATATTTAGATATATGTGTATACATGTTTTTTTTTTTCTTACTTTTTCTATATTACATATTAAACACGCAGAAAACGAGAAAGAGAGAGAGAAATAAAATGAATGAATGAAAGTGAGAAAGAAAGGGAGAAAGAGAAAAATGAATATATTATAAATGTATATACAGTATAAATGCAAATGATAAAAACAAAAAATAATTGTATTTTGTGAAGAAATCTTGTAAAAAAATCGTTTCTCTGTCTCGCGAACTTCTCTGTTTCTTTTTAAATCATAAAGTATTGTTTTTAATTTAAGCAAACGGAGAAGAAGAAGAAGAAATTAATGAATTTTTTCATTTTGTTATTTTCCTTTTGAATGTTAATTTTATTTTTTATTTCTTGTCCCTCTTTGTTCTTTATTATTATATTATATTAGTATTGTTTAATTTTAACTTGAGAGATTGTACGTCTCGTATTTGCGTATGGGAAAGTAAAAACTCTATTCTCGTAAAGAAGATATCGATAGCCTCGTATCCCATAACGCCCAGCCAAACGACTCTATAGAAAGCCAATACACGTACACACATCATGCATAGATCTTGTAACGGAAATATCGCATATATTTTCATCGATATATGCGTTATATACATATGTAAAATAGAACAAATATAGAAAAAGAAAGCTGATTTGTTTGAATTCATACAAACACATAAAAATACACGAATACACCATCGTAACTATCTAAATGGAACTTTTAATCTGCGCGATACCTTTTACAATTATTGTACTTCTTTAATATATGTATATATATATACATATATGTGTGTATATACGTGTGTATATATATGCCAAAAGAGAACGCGAGGTGTTTAATGTTTTAAAAAATAATATTCAATACGATATTTTCCAACGATACGAATAATATACATATGTGTATATATATATATGTACGTGTATACATATGTGTATATACTGTAAAAGAATAAAAGAAAAATCACATAAGGAAAAAATTACAAAAAAATAAAATTAAATAAAATAATAAGAAAGAAAAGATAAACAACTGTACAAATATGTAGCAAATACCTGATGAACTCGTCTTTTTTACGTTAATTGATATATCGAATAAGTGTCGTCGAAAGCTTCGAAGACAAATTTTATATATCTTCTATGTCTCCCACCACATCCTAAGAGAAGAAAAATAAAAATAATAATAAAACAAATCAATAATTAAATCACAACAGCGAAGCACTCAGAATTGCGTACTTTTCGTATGAAAACGAATTCCTTATTGAATTCGATTTGAAAAAAAAAAAAAAAAAAAATAGAAAACAAAAGATTGAAATGAATAAATAATTTAATTAAAAGCGCTTAGACGCGAAGTTTGTGCTTCCGTAAATAAATACAAAAAAGAAAAATGAATTGCAACTGGCAATTATGAAATAGAACGCAAATGTTTTCATTAAAAAATACAACAAAAAAAGTAAAGAAAAATTTGATTGCCAGTAATTTTACAATTTTACTATCGTCTTGCATCTATAAACATATAAATATATGTGTATATATACATATATACATATATTGATTCCTTAGTTGGAATGCGAAACGAAATAAGAGAATAAAAAAAAAAGTTTTTACTCATTTTTACCAGATATTTGATCGTGTGACATATTTGTAACATGTTGGAGTAAAACAAGAGTTTTCCCCCGACGTATTATACCACGAGTATGTATGTAATTATTATATAAATAAACATTATTAGTTTGCGCGCGAATATTTCGAATACTCGAATTACTTTGATTATCACAAATGTGTAAGTAATACGAGCACGGAGAAAATTATATGCCATTAATCTGAAAAAAAATGAATATATATTTATGTGTATATAGAACAAAAAAAAACGAATGATTATGAAAGTGATCTAATTATAAATCAGATATATCTTTCATTTTAAAATACACATCTTATATTATTGCTCGTGAAATTGAATTATTATTTGTAAAAATTCAATTATACACAAAATGTCTGTTAGATGAGAATCTAAATATGAATTATCTAAAATCAACTGAAAAATTTAATTACCCGAAGAAAATGATCTCCAAAAAATGTAGAATTTCTTTTTTGATGACAATAATAACAAATACATTAGTATAGATTTTTTCTTGTATGTAATTTGAGAATTTTAAAAATAGCTTCTTACAAAACACGTTTTTTGATATCTTAAATGGTTTATTGTTAGATCACTAATCATATATATATATATGTATTATATATTATATCAGCGATTATTCTGACATGTTACGAGATAGTCGAATTATCTGATATCGCAATCTTCATCATAATATCATGTCTGTGTATCGTTTTTCTTGATAAGCCTTTTAAACATAGATCGCGTAACGTCTTACGAAATATTTTTTATATCTCGATAGTCTTCTTCTTTCCTTCTCACTCTTTCTCTCTCTTTTTTTCCTTTTTTGTCTTTTTTATCGGTGTTGTAATATTTTATTCCAAAAGAAATAATCAAAAAAAAATCGAGAATTGAATGTAATTTTTTCATAAATTTTGTTTTCCTTTTGCAAAACGATACACAACAATCTAACGCAAATGACGAAATAATTTTAATTTGTAATTCGCGTTGGCATTAGAATAAAAATGTTTCAAATAAATTTCGTTTATTCGTATTTATATAACGAAAAATGAAAACAACAATGACGACAAAACTTGCTTTTACGTTAAACGTATCGATAGATTGTTTGAGAGAGATAAAAATAGTCGAAGTTATATTAAAGCCAATAATTTTCTCCGTGCTTAAGCGTTATTTCGAGAAGACACATACGGGCTTATGCGTAAACGTGTGTGTTAATAAATGAATCGATAAAATTGTAAAAAGAATTAAAAAAAAAAGAAGAATATTATATTAAAAAAAGAAAGAAAAAAGAAAAAAAGAGATGAAATGAAAAACGAAAGGAGAGAAGATACGTGAACGTTTATAACGTAGAGTGTGATGGTGTGGTGTGATGTGATGTGATGTAGTGTGGCCGCGTGCATGTGTTTAAAAAAAAAAAAAAATTAGAATAAAAAAGAAAAATAAGAAGAAACAATTGCAATGAAATAAAAATATCGCGTACGGGTTTTAGCAGTCCGTTAATAATTAATAAATTCGTAACTTTTTATATAAGCTGAACTATACTTTTCGTAAGAAAAATTGCAATGACAAACAACACACACATACACGCACACATACACACATACACATACAAAGCAAGGTCTCCAAATATGGCGCTTACGCTTTTTTGCGCCTTTAAATATCTTATAATTATTATAATTATATATATTGCTATGTACTGTACAAAATTGTCATAAAGAAGAAGAGAGAGAAAAGAGAAAAAAAAGCAAACAAACTACAAGGAATTTTTAAACGAAATCAGAGCGTTGTGTTTTAAATGCGATAAGAGAGTGAGAAAAAAAAGAGAAATATATAAATATAAATATAAATATAAATATAAATATATTATATATGACAAACACAAAAAAAACATACACAGGATACGAATATATACATACACAGGCACACGTGAATATTGAATGAGAGTTAAAGAAAAAGATAGAGTGAGATAAAGAGAGAGTAATATTGAGAGTGAAAGAGTATATGTGGACGAATGTATGAATGTGTGTGTTGTGTGCAAGGGTTGGGTAGCGATGAAAGTGGGGTAAAAATAAAAAAATGAAAGTAAACAAACAAATAAAACGAAAATGAGCAAAATGGAAAATAAATAAATACAGAAAAAGTAAAAAAAAAAATTAATAAATAAATCACGCGCAGAATGAAAGATATGTGTATGCATGTAAACAAGATTAACAATAATGCCTTGATTTGTAAATAAAACTTCATCACTTCCACTAATGACAAATTTATCTCTACACATTCAGCCATTCCCGTTTTACGTAGATCTCATTAAACAAAAATATTTCAAAGAAAGAAATAAAAAAAGAATAAAAAAGAATAAAAAAGAATAAAAATAAAAATAATAATGAAACAAATAAGATCAGCTTAGACTGATACAAATTAAAAATAATGTCTTCTGTGTCAGAGGTTTCTCTGTGAAATAAATAAATAGAAAAGAAACAAAAAATTTCAAGAAAGATTTTTGTATATACGAGGATTGGTTGAAATGTTTTGAGCCTTGACAAAAACCCTTCATTATTATTTTTTTAAATAAAAATATGGTGGCATATCTGTGATCAAAATTTCAAGTTACGAGAATCATTCTTGCAGTGACCCCGTACCATACGTGCAAATATATATGTCTTTAAGTGTGTATATAAAACGGTGTCTCTATTCTGATTCAAATGACGTGGTATTTAGGTCGAGCTGCTCGATCGCACACGATTACTCTCGATATTGGATTTCCGTGGGTAGTTCTCTTGAAGTAAAATGTCATCAGTGACGTCCGCCTACTGTATTAACGATAACTTAAATATTTACCATTTAAAGTGGTTAAATGTGATTGAATGCGTTTCATTCAACGAGGGGTTCTTTCATCATTTAATCTTATATAGTAAACAATATATAGGTCATTAATACTGACTCACTATATATACATATAATATGAATATTATACACAATGTGAAAAGGAAGATGCATGTGCATATGAACTCGATTTATTTTTATTTCGTGCGTCTAAAAATACAGGTGAGTGAAATCAAACAATATTATTAAATGCACGTTCACATTCGATCATTCAAATTTCGCGGTAACATATGGCGGACGTGCATCGCCTAGCGTCAACGACATCTTTATCTTAGAAATTCTTTTAACTACGTCGTATTAAAATCGTTCATAACTTCGATCGGGCGAATTTTTTTTTTGTCAAACGTATCACGAAATCATAAATATTTAAACAGTTTAATAATAAATAAACCAATTTTTTAATTATCATTTCAAAATCATCGTATAATTAATAAAAATGATATTTTGTATAAAAAAGTAAGAGAGATCATTTTTGTTTTTTTTTTGTTTTGTTTTGGAAGGAGCGAGAAGAAAGAAGAAGGAGAAAGATTTTTTTTGTAGTCCATTCTCTTTTTATACTTCATATCTTGGAGTATAATCTATTTATCAAAAGTCCAAAAAGAAAAAGTGTATCTAGTTAACGTGTTCTACGCTAGAGCTCGATGTAAGGATTACAATTTGAAACATGGCTCAATAACGCGCCACTACTTTTCTCTGATCGCAGATCGTCTGTAACACACATCCGACTACCGCGCGTCGCAATTTCAAATGTTGCTTACACTAATCCTAACGAAATGTCGCGTGTAATGAGTTATATCACAAAAAGTGACATTATATTAAAATTAAATATAACAACGCCAAACGATAAAGAGTTAACGCCCTGGTTAATTGTCAAAAATGGCTAACCATTGAAATAGTATTTTTTGTTGAATATTATTTTAGAAATAATAAACGACAAGAAAGAGTAAAAAAGAAAGATAGATAGAGAGACAGAGAGAGAGAGAGAGAGATAGAAAAAGAAATAGAAACTTTATTATTCTCAGTGAATATATTTAATCTTAAAAATTAACGTGTGTCCATTTAATAATTAATATAATGCCGCGCATAAAAGCATCGCCGAAAAAATATGTTAAAACGAATAACTTAAATTCGACTAGCAACACTTGGGTCTTTCTTATGAAAGGTTAGTTCAAGCAAATAATATTATTATACATTACGGTTTCATTTGTATGTTGTTCTTTTAAATTAAGAGTAAAATAATGTTTACATTAAGAACAAATTACATAAGATTTGGTTACTTTGTCATATATTTTAGGAGATAGTTTAGAAGGCAAAGATGGAAATTTGCCAAACGTAGTCAAACTTAGACACCCTGCGTCAAGTCAGCCGGCTATGTTTGTCTTCAGCCCTGGTGATCTTACCATACAAGAGGTTTTAGCATTTGATGAAAACAAAAGGTCATGGTTTATAGATGATAATGTTAAGTCTGATGGAAAAATGCATCTTTCCACTCCTATTGATCCAATCTTTTTAGTTTTACCATATCTAAGAAAGGTGATTTTTTTGAAGAGATAAGAATTAAGTAAGAAGATAATTATGTATTTTTATTAGTTATTATATTGTGTATGTTATTTTAGTCACCGCAAATACAACCTCTCGACCAATGTTTATGGGACGAGGATTATCCAGAAACACCTCGCTTAGCTCATTGTCAAAACTTAAAGTTGTCTTTAGTTGCTGATCGTAAAGGTGATGAATCTCTTCAAGCTTTCAAGTACAACGAAGAAAAAACATTAAATTGGTTGAAAAAGAAAGTAGAGAGAGTAGCTGAAGTCTTAAAACAGAAAAGTATTCATGTATCACAAGGTGCTTTAAGTGCTACCTATGTTAAAAGTACTAAATATGAAAGCGGTACTGATTTAGGTAGGAACTTTCTTCATCTAATAAAAAAAGAATCATAAGAAAAGAATGAATGAACGAATGAATTTATTTACTTACAAATGTCTTCGATATTTCAGAATATTTGAAATATGCACATGGTATAGTATCCGAATATTTGGCTGATGATATAGCAAAAAAATTGGCACAATATTTAAATATACCAGATGAAGTAGAAAGAAAGCGTAAATTGATTAGTCCTAAGGAAGTATCGGAAGAAAAGAAATTCAAAAGAGATACTTTAGAAGAAGATGTAACTCCACGTACCAAAGCTTTGGATTTGTCTAAACCAGAAAAGGTTTGTTAACGATAAAAATAGGTTTCTATATATTTAATGCATATATGCATGATTTATTATTTATATATTACTTTAGCCTCAGAAAACTCCACCTATGAGTAAGAAGGAACTCTCTAGACAAAAAGCAGCCATTGGATCTAAAAGTATTACTAGCTTTTTTAAAAAAAAATGAATATTACTAGGGTTACATATTATAAATAATTTGAGACTGTAATAATAGGTTATATAGTACTTGCATTCCTATTAAAGTTATTCCTAAAACTTATAAAACTACTAAGCCAGGATGTTAATATATAATCTATTTTACAATGCGTACCATAATCATTATTTTCCTGTAACATTGTCTTATTATCCATAGTTACATATCTATATTTTAAATTGTTGGAGACTGGTTGTATAAAACTATTGTTAGCGATTTTAAAAATAATTCTTGTTTTTATAATATGATGTAAATGATGTGTAATATTTTTTAAAGCAACAGAATGGAAAAAAACATATTGTAATTTCGATCATTGTTTTCTATTGAAATTATTTATAATGATATATGTATATTATAAAACAAAGCAATATCTTTCTATAACTACTTTCGAATGTATAGGCTCTGTAATCAACCAATACCAATTATGAATTAAAAATCTTTTAATCTACGAATACATCTAATAATTGTTTCTTAACAATATATTATAACAACTCGTTATACTAAAATTTTCAATATTGTAAGCTATTTTTTATCTATCAAGATTTTGATATATCATTTTTTAAAGATATAAATACGTGTTATTTTTAATGTGATGTCATGAATATTGGAATTTTTTAAATAATTATTTTAACAAAAATTCTATTCAAGATAAATATATTTATTATTATTTAAATTTTATTATGTTAACAAATTTGTATACAATATTTATTAAATCTATTGTAATATCAGATAAAATTAATCTAATCTTGATACAACATTGCTTTTACCTCTACCCCCTTTATGGGGCCTCCATAGGTTCAGTCATTTCTACGTCTCTGCATTTTGCATTTTGTAATTCTCTTCGTATTTCAGGTGTAATAGTATGATGCGATTGTCTTTTTAATAAATTTAACAAGGCTTCTTTTTGTTCTGAACTTATATCACTTTTGTAACGTTGCACGAAAGTCAAAAATGCTTGATGCCATAGTACTGGTAATTCTCTTTTATCCCTTTCAAATCTGAAGTATGATTTTATAAATATTTAGCATTGGGTAATTTAATCGTTTATTTAATATATAATTTATTACTAATAATAATACTTTACCTTAAAAAGTGAAACACAAGACCATCTACTACTCTGTAGGGAAGTGCATATTTTTTGTCTAAAAATACTCTCAAAAAGATACTGTTAGCACCGGTGTAATCCATTTCTGCGATTTTTAACATCGCCGCAGACGAATGTAACATTGGAATAGAATTTTTAGCTATCACCGAGCTGATAATAACTGCTTCTCTTAGCGTACATGTACCAGATTCTAAAAGAGGAAGTAAAACTCCTTTCATAAAGCCAGCGGGCTTAAACAAGGCTTTTCTCAATGCCTGATACAAATGAAAATTAAGTCTTTTGTATTCTGCTAAATCATCCCTAATACGTGGTAAGAGAACAAGATTAAAAAATCTTTGGGCCATTTTTTCTTTAAGATTGGATGCGAAGATTCTTGTTGCTTGATACATAGCTGCGGCAGACCATCTAGGTGGTTCAGTAATGTAAAGAATTTGTTCCCAGTTTCTTAAAGTCGGAATTATTTTAAAAGCTTTTGGCAATTTACCACTACGATATTTAGACAATACGTCTCTGACTCCTTGATACATTACTTTAACTCTTGGATCTAAATCTTGCATTTGTAAGGTACCTGCATCAGAGAATTGAGTTTCTATTTCTGTTTTTTTCTCTGTTAATTTTTCCATAATAATATCAGCTAATGTTCTCATCGGTACTGGATTTTTATTCATAAATTTTTCCAATGCACGTTCATCTTCTTCATTGATATCTAAGTTTTCAAAATAATAAGCATCTCCAACATCATCCTCACTGGATTCATTTTCATCATCACTAAATTCAACTCCAAGTTTTGTCAATGGTTTTTTCATAGAATTTGGTACTTGACCCTCATTATTCTCCTCTTCAATTTCCATTTGTTGTTTCCTTGCTTGCAGCAAGATTTTTCCGGTAAGATTAGAATCGACATACTGAAAAAATTATAAAATAAATTATTTCATACGTTCTTATAATTTTTTCTTTGTTAACATATATAAAATAACAAGATGCAATATAACCTCTTCATCGTCTTCATTGCGTTTTCTATTTTTCTGCCTATTTTTTGCTGTAACAATCTTCTCTCCTTCTATTTGTTCCGCTAATCCTACTTTGGATCTTTTTTCTCCTGCAGATACTTTAATTTTCTTAGCCTTACCCATATTTTTATTTTATTAAAAACAAACAGAGATATAACTCGACACACGCGAACATGTGATTTTTAAATGGTATAAATAAGGTTAGGTTAGCTATTTATGTGCTACCTTACCGACTAATGTTAAATGCATCGACCCAAACATGCGCAAGAAATATACGGTAAAATTTAGGCGGGAATAAACACTGCGATAGTTTCATAAATTGTTTCATCTAATTTACTAAAAATTGTTTGAAAATAATAATTAAAAATATATTACAGTTTTATTTATACCATTTTAAAAATGGCACCGAAAAAAGCATCGAGAGATTATGTCAAAGATAAAGGTAAATTTTAAATTATTAATGTCAATTAATTTCTAACCATAAAAATTTCTATGTTTTTATTATATGTTACTGTATACATGTATATAATTTATAAAATATTTTATTAATTCTATTAATATATCTATTATTTTAGAACAACTGAAAACATTCTTAACTGAATTTATGGTTATGGATGATAAAAGTGGCGACAAAATATTTAAATATAGACAACAACTTACTAAACTTGCTCATCGTGAACAGATAGCTCTCATTATTGAATTAGATGATGTAAATGAGTTTGATGATGAATTGGCTGTTGCTATTGCAAATAATACACGAAGATATGTTAACATTTTACTAGACGTACGTATGCAGTCTGCTATATTTCGATTTTATATGTTACATTCTATTTGAACAATTTGGTCTTTCCAGCTTGTTCAAGAAATTCTACCAGATTTTAAAGAGAAACCTGTACCTCCTAAAGATGCATTGGATGTGTACATTGAACATCGGTTATTGATAGAAAGTCGTAACAGACATCCCGGTGATCAACGAGATCCTAGGAACAAATACGCTCCAGAGCTTATGCGACGTTTGTGAGTTATAAATTGTGTTTGATTTTTAAATTATGATTTAATAAATCTTAATCATATTTTTACATTATATTACAGTGAAATATATTTCAAGGATTTCAGTGATGCTAAAGCTTTTTCTGTTAGAGAAATAAAAGCTGATAAGATAGGAAAATTGGTAACGGTTAGAGGTATCGTTACTCGATCCACTGAAGTAAAGCCTATGATGGTGGTTGCTACTTATACTTGTGACCAATGCGGTGCAGAAACATATCAACCAGTATATTCAATAAAATTTCCTAATATTTATACTAGAATATATTTCATATTATATTGATAATAACATTTATTTGAATTGTAGGTACAATCGCTTACTTTTATGCCGTTGAGAATATGTCCTAGCGATGATTGTCGTGTAAATAAAGCTGGTGGTAGATTGTATATGCAAACTAAAGGATCCAAGTTTATTAAATTTCAAGAAATTAAACTGCAAGAACATGTAAGATATTTTCATGAYAATTTACATTATTTTGATAAATAAATCAATTAATCAAATTTATTTCAGAGCGATCAAGTTCCAGTTGGTCATATTCCTAGATCAATAACAATCTTTTGCAGAGGGGAAACTACACGACAATGTTTACCAGGAGATCATGTAACCATTACCGGAATCTTTTTGCCCTTAGTAAAGACTGGATTCAATCCTAGGGGTGGATCTGCCCTTTTAAGTGATACGTATTTGGATGCACATGTATAAAAATTTATTATTTATTCGATTAATGATTTATTTTTTTTCCTGAATTTGAAAAATATTAATTTAAATGTATATTTTAGAGGATCGTATGTTGTACAAATTCACAAACCATAGATGACAGTAGTGCTCAGTTGACGGATGAAGAATTGGCATTATTATCGCAAGATGATTTTTATAGTAAACTGGCTACATCTTTGGCACCGGAGATTTATGGATTGGAAGACGTCAAGAAAGCTTTATTGCTGCTTCTTGTAGGTGGTACAGATAAAAAAAGGGGTGATATTAAAATTAGAGGTAAATATATTTTTTATGTTAATTAATTTGTAATAAGGAGGATAATAATTTTATTTATTTTCTATAGGTAACATCAATATATGTTTGATGGGTGATCCAGGTGTTGCAAAATCTCAATTACTTTCATTCATAACACGTCTAGCACCAAGATCTCAATACACTACAGGAAGAGGATCTTCTGGTGTTGGTTTGACTGCTGCTGTTATGAAAGATCCTTTGACTGGTCAAATGATACTCGAAGGTGGAGCTTTGGTATTAGCCGATCAAGGAGTTTGTTGCATTGATGAATTTGATAAAATGGCGGAGGCTGATAGAACTGCCATACACGAAGTTATGGAACAGCAAACAATATCGATTGCAAAAGCTGGAATCATGGCACGTTTAAATGCTCGAGTATCTATTTTGGCCGCTGCTAATCCTGCTTATGGTAGATATAATAGTAAGAGAACGATCGAACAAAACATTCAGCTTCCCGCTGCTTTGTTATCGAGATTTGATTTATTATGGCTCATTCAAGATCGTGCAGACAGAAGTAACGATTTAAAGTAATTATTCCTTTGTATCCGTGTTAGTTTTTATTATTATTCGATAACTAATTAAATGAATACGTTATATCTTATAGATTGGCACAGCACATAACTTATGTTCATCAACATTCTTCTCAACCACCTACTGAAACTGAAGCCTTAGACATGAATTTAATACGGAAGTATATTAATCTATGTAAAATAAAAGAACCTTCCATTCCTGAAGATTTAGCAGAATACATTGTCGGTAAGTGTTGGGTAATATTTTAAAGAATAATTTATTGAACTATAAAATTGAAATATTTATATTTATTATCGTTGCAGATTCCTATGTGGAAATGAGAAGAGAGTCGCGTAATAGCGTTGATCAAACTTTTACTTCTGCTCGTAATTTATTAGCAGTGCTACGATTGGCAACAGCATTAGCACGTCTTAGATTAGCGAATGCTGTTGAAAAAGAAGACGTAGCTGAAGCAAACAGATTGGTAGAAATGTCGAAGCATTCGATTAATTTTTCTGACTCCAAACCGAACAATGCTCAAAGAAATCCTATTGACAGAATCTACTATCTTATTTTGGAATTAGCCAGTGGCAATAAAACCGTTAAAGTATCAGATATATTGGAACGATGTACGAGTAAAGGATTTAAGCCTGATCAAGTGAACGAGTGCATAGAAGAATACGAAAGATTAGATGTTTGGCAAGTGAATCAAACGAGAAGACAGATTACTTTCATTCAAAAAGATTAATTCAATACATCTATTTTTATACATTTTCTTATCTTATCCTAATATATATCACATTGTACGAAAATTAACGTTTTTACATTTACTAAGAACGTTGATTTTCTTTTTTTTTTATATATATATATAAACATAATGTAATAAAAAAATGAAAAAATAAATTTGTTATTTTGACATACCATACGTCAGAAATTGAAATAATAATAATTCGTATGAGCAGGGGTAGATGGCACAGGTTGTTTAATACCTCGGTAAACTTCGGCAAAATTCGAAAGGATTCGGTTCGGCGGCGCGCTCTCGGCACGGGACGCTGTCGGCATGGTGGTCAGTCGCATCGAGCGATCCGCGAGGCGCGTGTCGCGTCCCCGTGCATATATGTGTGCGGGTGTGCGTGGGTCTCTCGTCAGTGTATATCGTGACTTTGATCGTGTCGTTTCTCAACGGTGGTGTCGTATTCGTCCATCATCGTCAACAGATTAGTAGTAATAAATAGCAATAAGAATAGCTCGTGATTGTCGTCGTGTCGGTGGACGTCTTTAAAGCTGGACATTAGTCGGTCGTCGTGTATATTTTCCGACTATTGGCCGGTAGTAGCCGAGGTCTTTGGCTCGGCTCGGTTCGGCTCTCCGGTGTGAACGCCGCGCGTGCATGTGGTACTAGTATCCGCGACACACGGTGCTTCATACGATAATCCAAATGTTGTCTTCGGATGCGACTTTGGTTGATCATCGTTTTCTCGATAGCGATCGTGGTCCTTCTCGTACTCGCCGACGTAGCGAGTTCATCGTCGTCGCTTGACAACGCGGTCAAATTGAGAAAGGAAGACAATTTAATTGAGAGAATAATAAATAAAGAAAAATACGACGCGACAACGATAAATAATAAGTGAAGTTATAAGAAGGAGAGAAGGAGTGTAGAAAAAGGAGCATAGAGAGAGAGAAGGAGAAGGTGAACGTTCGAGGAAGATAAAAAGATATAAAAGAAGAAGAGAAGGAGAAAAGAAAAGGGGAGGAAGAAAATAAAATTTGTAAAAAGTAAGAAGAAGAAGAAGAAGAAGAAGAGACGAACGACGCTCGTTGGCGAATTTTAATCACATCTGTCTCTCTATCTTGTTCTCTCAGAACCCGATTAAATACTTTCTATCTTTTTAATTTTTTTTTTTTTTGTATTCTTCGGCTAAGTGTAAGCTCACCGCGCGCGTCGCGGTGCCATTTTGGCAAAATGAAAATAATAACGGTGAGGAGGCAGGACGTAGGGCGTGCATCACCGGCACCGCTTCTTCTCCTCCTCCTTGGGATTTTACTCGGCGGTTGCGTCGACGCCGTTCTATCGCGTTTACCGCGTTCCCTCGAACGTTCGAAAAATGAGACCAATTGCGATAAAGTCGCTTTCTTTTTTGAGAACGAGAACAATGTTGTTGCGAGGCTGATTACTGCCAGCACGGATTCTGGGACCACATCTTCTCCTGCATCCAAAAGTAAGTCTCAAATATTTCTTTTTTTTTTATATTTTTCTTCTTCCATTACTGTTCTCGTTTGTTTTAATTGCATTTTGAACTAAGTCACGTGATCTCTTTCAAATTCAAATCACATTAACCAGTCGCGTGGATTTTGTTCCAAAATTTAAATTAGCCGCTTAAAACGAAGTTAATATTTTTCTATCTTTTCATCTGATTCGTTTTTTTTTTTATATATTCACCAATCATAACATTACTGTTCTCATCGTTTTAATTGCATTTTCTCAACTAATCACGTGATCTTTCCTAAATTCAAGTGGTATAAATCGATCACGTGATTTTGTTCAAAAATTTGAATTAGCCGCCTAAAACGCAGGTAACATTTTTTTATTTTTACATCTGATTCGTTTGTTATATATTTACCAATCGTAATATGACTTTGTTTACAATTCAAATTATCCGCTTTAAATATCGATTCCCATTTTGTTTCTCGTTTTTATCGAAATGTTTTCATTCAAACGATTGAGATATAATAATAAATAATGTCTGTGTCGTTCGATGTAATGTTGTACGAAATCAAAGAAAACGAAGTAAAAAATAAGATATATATATATATATATATAGATAAAAGGAGAGAGAATCGTATGAAGGAGGAGAAAACTCCTTGCAATACACTTGCCATTTCTGAGAATTTTCACGACGATGATCAGCGGCCTAGCAGCTCGATATATACGACTTGACGATAGACGTATAGCGCGCACGTGCTGCCAAGAAATCTTTAGACTTGATACGATACATGGAAGATAGAAACTTGTAAATATATATATATAAATATATATATACTAACTTGCCATTACTCTGTTGCTATGGTCAGCTGTTATTCGCATCTAACACATTTCAATTTTATTTTATAACTTTCTCGAAAGGTTAGGTTCTTCAAGTTTAAAAAAGAAAATATCTTTTTCTTTATTCAATTATATATGATACATTATCTGTTAAAAGTTTCTAATTTCTACGTAAATCTTTGAGTAATAATAGATTTATTTAATTATTATACACTGTAGAATAGTAATCGATAAATTTATAAATTTATTTATCTCCAAAATGAAAACTGTAAAATAA